CCTAATATCCCTGCAGTCATGATTACCGAACCACTTCACTGACAAGAACACAGAAGCTTAAAAAGATTAGAGAGAAGCAGGCAGTGGTGGCGCCGTCTTTAATCCCAGCACTCGGGAGGCAGAGGCAGGTGGATCTCTGTGAGTTCAAGGCCAGCCTGGTCTACAGAGCAAGTTCCAGGGCAGCCAGGGCTACACATAGAAACCCTGTCTAGAAAGAAAAAAAATAGACTAAATAGATTGTCCAAGTTCACATAGATAGCCAATGCAGGTTCAAATCTGCATGTGCCAAAGTTGTGACCATCAGTCCGACACTGAGTGCATGTTACAGCAGACTGCCTGAAATCAATCTCTCTTTTTGTTTTTTGTTTTGTTTTGTTTTGTTTTTTCGAGACAGGGTTTCTCTGTGTAGTTTTGTGCCTTTCCTGGAACTTGCTTTGTAGACCAGGCTGGCCTCGAACTCACAGAAATCCACCTGCCTCTGCCTCCCGAGTGCTGGGATTAAAGGCGTGCGCCACCACCGCCTGGCTAATCTCTCTTTTTAGGATGGGCTGAATCAAGCAATCCAACCCAGTTCGCCCACAGCTCTCTCCCTATCCCTGGGAGAATCTTCTTCCCCACTTCAGCATCAATTTCTAATGATACTATCTCTCACTAGGAAATGTACACCACTTCAGCCAATCCCAGAGATGTATGTCTGGACCCCAAAATGAGGGTGGCACTCACATTAGTTTCTCTTTTAATTGTTAAGCTGCGACGACTCTCTCCTGTCTGGATAGTTACTTTAGGGTATAAATCCACAAGTTACATCACTGCTTCCCAAGACATAAACATCTTCATAGCTCAAGGCACACTGCCAAACCACTCTCAAAAGAATTATGTCAACTTATAATGCCACCACTAACAGAATACTGATATTTTAACAATCCAAGTTTCAAGTACATGAATAATTTATTTAATTATATCTCTAACGCTAAATTAAAAATGCATGCTCTGTTAATCTCAAAGTTGGTAGAGAAAGGTATTCTTAAGGGAAGTTGCACATTTCCCTATTGGTGGAATTAAATGTAGCTTCTTGCACGGTTAGTGTCAGTATTACTTCTTTTAAAAATTGTCATGTGAGCATCTATCTGTATTGATATGCCTGACATTTCCTACTGGAGACAGATAAGAAGTTCCTATGGGAGGGTAGAGAACCTTGTTCAAGTGCAAAGCGTTGTGATGCTTCTGTGTTTTGAATGAACACATTTGTTCAGTGGTTCTGGAGTAATCATACTGTGAGCAGGTGCCTTTGTAAATGGTTTTCTGCATTTTAAGAGAACATGGTCACTTGGTAAGGGAACCTTGCTGCCGCTCCTTTGCGACGTCACAGAGGGTCAGTCACCCTTGATCACACTGAACTAGTCTTCACCTCTGCACTCCTGCCAGAAGAACAGAAATCTGACTCTCTGGGGATACCAGCCTCTCCCCTACTGCTCTCTCCAGTATGAGGCAAACTTTGTCCCCCTTCCCAGAGGCTCTGGGGCAGTAAGTCAGCTCTCTCCTCAGAATCTAGAACCACTCCCCATCTTCAACTGACATCACAGGCTCCTCGTGTGAGCGTTTCATTTTGCTTGCCCTTTGCCCTTCAAGGCCAGCACTGTCCCTAGCACATCACAGGTACTCAGCTACCATCGCCCTGAGTTGACAGTTGCTCACCTGACTACTTCCCACTCGGTGTGAACATTCAGGGAGACGATGCTTTCTTTCTTTCTTGCAGCCATGGGGAACTGGACTGCTTCCCTGGTCCTCACTCCCTGCTTGTCCTGAACTCTTCTGGCTTTTCAAACTTCTAACAGACCTGTGTGTCTTCTTCCTCTCCTGCATTCTTCCACTCCATTCTCTATTTCATCAAATTCCACATTTAACACATGCACATATGGACAATATGGATAACACATGCAGATATGGGCAGTATGGATAACACATACACATATGGGCAGTATGGATAACACACCACATATGGGCAGTATGGATAACACATGCACATATGGGCAGTATGGATAACACACCACATATGGGCAGTATGGATAACACATGCACATATGGGCAGTATGGATAACACATGCACATATGGGCAGTATGGATAACACACCACATATGGGCAGTATGGATAACACATGCACATATGGGCAGTATGGATAACACATGCACATATGGGCAGTATGGATAACACACCACATATGGGCAGTATGGATAACACATGCACATATGGGCAGTATGGATAACACATGCACATATGGGCAGTATGGATAACACACCACATATGGGCAGTATGGATAACACATGCACATATGGGCAGTATGGATAACACATGCACATATGGGCAGTATGGATAACACACCACATATGGGCAGTATGGATAACACACCACATATGGGCAGTATGGATAACACACCACATATGGGCAGTATGGATAACACACCACATATGGGCATTATGGATAACACACCACATATGGGCAGTATGGAAAACACACCACATATGGGCAGTATGGATAACACATCACATATGGGCAGTATGGATAACACACCACATATGGGCAGTATGGATAACACATGCACATATGGGCAGTATGGATAACACATGCACATATGGGCAGTATGGATAACACATGCACATATGGGCAGTATGGATAACACACCACATATGGGCAGTATGGATAACACATGCACATATGGGCAGTATGGATAACACATCACATATGGGCAGTATGGATAACACACCACATATGGGCAGTATGGATAACACATGCACATATAGGCAGTATGGATAACATATCACATATGGGCAGTATGGATAACATATCACATATGGGCAGTATGGCTAACACACCACATATGGGCAGTATGGATAACACACCACATATGGGCAGTATGGAAACAAAATCAGCACTTATGCATCCCGCTTCTTACATACGAAGTTTTGTGAACTGCTTTTTTAGCTCAGTGCAGAAACTCAACATACACCCGCTGCACCTAGTGGACCTCGTGAAGATGGGGTTTAAGGAGGGGAGTGACAGCAAGGAGTGCTATTCCCAATGTGTCAAACAAAGGCAGCTAGTGCACTAGTTGTCCAGTGCCACCTCCGTGATCACTTTGTACTATCTCACTTTTGGATTGTTTTGTTTTGTCTGAGACAGAGTTTCTCTGTGTAGCCCAAGCTGTGTTTAAACTCAAAATCCTCCTGCCTCCATTTCCAAAGGACTAGGATTGCAGGTGCGTGGCACCATACCTAGCCATCCTCCTGCCTCCACTTCCAAAGGACTAGGGTTGCAAGTGTGTGGCGTACCCAGCCACATCCCACATGTTGGAGTCAGTAACTCAGGACAAGTTGGGTGGTTATTCTTACATCTGCAGAGATGACTTGATGTATTGAACTAAATATCTGAAAGTCGGAGGTGGCTGCACTTGAGTGGTTGGGGCCTTGATGAGAGACAATGGAAGTCCCCACGTGGGGCCTCTTGAGCATGACATCACGGGACATTTGATTTTTTATATGGACACCCGGCATTCTGCTTCCCCCTGGTATTTTCGTCTTCACACACACCCCTGACTTGCCTCTGTAGCTCATCATGGCTTTTCTGGGGCAAGCCCCAGAAGTCTGTGATGTTGTGACAGCTCCTTTGTTCATACACACTTTTCCTTTAAGTGTGATGTCCAGGGGCATTCTGTCTTACACGCCCCACTGCTGGAGATGAGTCTGAGTCTATTCACTCTCTGGGAACATGCTGCGTAGCATGGATGCTGTGGGAGAATGCAGATAGCACCCCGTGGCTCTTTGGTGTCTCTGTGTGGTCCTGGAAGCTCCAGCCTTCCCTCTTTCTCACGTTTCCTTAAACAGTGTTTTAGAAGTTTTTCAAATAAGTGCATGCTCAAATCAAATCTTTGCTCATAGACAGAAGTAAGGAAACTCCTTTCACGGCCACGAGCCCACATTACAGAGTCTGAACTGTTACTAGAGGTGGCAGGATCTCACATCTGGGACTATATTTGACACAAAGCTGGAGGACTTCCTCAGGGGCACGAAGCTGGTCAGATGGCGGAGTTGCATCTGCAGTCAGGCCAGAAGGCTCGGTCCCTCCCAGTACTCCCGCTATCCAACGGAGCAGGGGCTGTCATTTCCCAGACCGCTGAGATCCGCTATAGGCTTCCTAGCATGGCTGGGAGCTCTTTTGATGTCTGCCTGCTAAAAGCGATCACACAAAAACACGTTCTTGTAAACGTTTAGAGTCTTATTAGATTTTGCTTGGATCTCCCCCGCCACACACACACACCAGTCTGAAGTTGGCATTTGGAAAGCAATGTGGAGAAAGGAGACTCAGAACTGAAGGAGAAGAAAGGGAAGCCAGGTGCCTGGGACGGCCCAGGGCTGGGACGTGCGCTCTAAGCTTTAGCCTCGGGACTTTGCAGGGGCAGGATATCGATCAGATCGCGCTTGATCAAGGAAGCCAGCCCTGGTCGAAGCTACACAGCTGAAGACTGGCAGAGGTACTGCGATGCGTGCGGGACGAGGGATGAGGCTCCTCTGTGTGTCCTCAGGGTATCGCCAGGAATTGGTGCCAAAGCAGAGGTGCTGGCCAGGGCTTCGGGAGTGACGTGCGACTTGGAGGCTTCCGCACCCCCAGGGCACGCCCCTGTCGCTTCCCTAGCTGATCTAGGGAGACCTGGCTGGGCTCAGCCACTTGCCCTAGCCCCTCCTCCAGCGATCCGGCTATATAGATCACCGCCCCTAGGCCGGGAGGCAGAGGTGCCCGGGAACCTGGGCTTAGCGGGTCCTCCTGGCTCACCTTTGAGCTCCACAGGAGCGCAGGCTCTGCAGTGGCACCACCCGGGCCCCGGGTGGCCGCTCCAGACGTCAGAAGTGCCAGGTTCGGTGCCCGCACCAGGCAGCAGTGCCACTGTCACCTTCAAGGCTGAGTACTTTTGGTCTTGCACTCGCACCTCTCCGTCCTCCTAGGCAAGATGGTGAGCCCGACAACTTCCGAAGTGCCTCCTACCATGGGGGTCAAGATCTTCTCAGCTGGCGTGGCCGCCTGTCTGGCAGATATCATCACCTTCCCGCTGGACACAGCCAAAGTCCGGCTTCAGGTAGAGTCCAGGGAAGTTGGCGCGGGTTCTCCAGGCAGAGGGACTACTGTGGGCATCACTGTGATGTCCGCTGTGGTTTAACCACTCCTTCTCAGTGTGGCTCTACCTTGGGACTGGGTGCTGTAGGAGAGGAAATGGGACCCCTTTCCTGGAAGCTGAAGAGCTGCAGGTGATGGGGTGACAGTGACCTCTGCCAAACCCTTCACACGGCTAAGGTGTCCCAAGCAGGTAGGGTCCTTAAAGTGTACCCTCAGAGTTTACAAGCTTGGCACTTATACCTTTCTTTGATTTTTCAGGGCACTGTCCCATCCTGCACTTAAGGACTTTGGAGAGTTCCTGGATACCTTGTTCAGGTGTTCAGAGCCTGCACTGTAGCCAATACCATGATAGAGAGGTAGATGGATGATGGACGGATGGATGGATGGATAGATAGATAGATAGATAGATAGATAGATAGATAGATAGATGATAGGGAGGGCAGTGTAGAGAGACACAAATATGGAGTTGTATGCAGGAAAGGTTGCTGAGAAAGGCAATTTATAAAACGTGCCTAATGGACAAGCCTTGCCTAGGGCATCTCCATAGTCTTCATGTACCAGTCTTTAGTCCTCACCAGGCATGACCCCTTCCTTAATGGACGGCCACTTCCCTCTGACCTCCACCTTTCTCATTTCCAGATCCAAGGTGAAGGCCATAACTCCAGCACCATTAGGTATAAAGGTGTCCTGGGAACCATCACCACCCTGGCAAAAACAGAAGGGTTGCCAAAACTGTACAGCGGTCTGCCTGCTGGCATTCAGAGACAAATCAGCTTTGCCTCACTCAGGATTGGCCTCTACGATACTGTCCAAGAGTACTTCTCTTCAGGGAGAGAAAGTAAGGATGGCTGGGGGTTGGGGGGCAATGCCCAGACTGTGCTCTATTCAAAAATTGAAAAACAAGAGATAGTATATTTGTCCAGCATTGGCTAGGCTCTGGGTTCCATCCCAGCAGCCCCAACTCACCCAAAATAACACAATGTGTGGTGGAATTCATAGTAAATTGGCAAAAAAGTCAGTATTTGCACTGTCTCTTTGCCCCTAGAAAGAAAAAGAGATATGCAAATCAATTCTTCACATGCAGGTTTACACTTGTAAAAATCAACCGGCCAGTGAGGGGAGCTTTGTGTCTCTTCTACGTAGGTAGGCTATGAAACAATGTTCAGTGCAGACTCCCCCAAACAGCAGTCCCAGAAGCCTAGAGAGCTTGTGGGAAGTCGAAGAGAGGTCACCATGCTCCCTGAGTCTGCACTAGTGTCTAAGTAAAACTCACCCACACAGAACTTCCAACGTTCAGGTCTGGATGTTTCTAGATCAACATTGCATTGTCATAATGGTAGAGATAGAAAAGGAGACACACTCAGAGTGGCCCATTTGGCTGGTTTTCTGCAAATGTTGTAATCAATCACTGGGTATGTCAGGTCCTAAACTAACCAGTTATGTTCTGGGAGTGTCCTGCATTATGCTTCTTCAATTGGTCTAGTAAGCTTTGTTGAACTGTCGTGGGTGGGAAATTGGCCAGTGATAGTTGCTATTCTAGACAGGAACCCCCAGTTCAGCTGACTACCCAACCATGGCGTATGTTGTGTGGCGTATGCAGAGTGGGCACAGTGAAGAGGCATGATCATAAAGACTCTGGAAGAGCCAGTGTCTGAATTGAGTTCTGAGAGAGAAGTAGGAGACTTCAGGGGCCGGCTGGAAAGTCATGAGAAAAGTCCTTTCCAGCCAAGTGAAAACTGCACAGGATCTCAGGAAGGAGTTGAGTGGACATGCAGGGGAGGAGGGGAGGAGGGGAGGAGGGAAGGCATACTGGTGAGAAGGGGCAGGTGAGGCTAGAGAAGCAGGAACCGGTCACAAAGGGCCTTGTCGTTCACTCTACGGTTTGTATTCTACCCATACAGTGATGGGAAGTCATTGAAAAAAATGCTAAGAAGGACATCAGGTGTGGTGGCACACATCTGGAATCTCAGAACTTGGGAGGCAGAGACATGACAATCAAGAGTTCAAGGCCAGCCTGAGCTATCTAGAAAGATTCTGTCTCAAAAAATAAGAAATAAAGATCTAGGGATAGAGTTCAGTGGTAGAACACTTGACCTTGGGTTCAATTTCCATCACCACAAAAAACAAGTTAAACAAGTGTCATAAGCACATTTATACTTCAGAAGATTACTTTGGCAGCAGTAGAGAATATGTATATAAAAATTCTAAGCCAGAAAGTCAGAAATGACTGTGGTATGCCCTACGGCATACAGGGAAAAATCAGGGTACCGATCAGAATGCTTTAAAAATACAATCCATTGCATTCGGTGAAAAACTAGAAGCAAGGCTCAATAGAAAAGTAGGGATGCAAGATAGCTGTCCAGGGTAGGGATGCAAGATAGCTGTCAGGTGTAGGGATGCAAGATAGCTGTCTGTCAGGTGTAGGGATGCAAGATAGCTGTCCGGTGTAGGGATGCAAGATAGCTGTCCGGTGTAGGGATGCAAGATAGCTGTCAGGTGTAGGGATGCAAGATAGCTGTCTGTCAGGTGTAGGGATGCAAGATAGCTGTCAGGTGTAGGGATGCAACATAGATAGCTGTCAGGTGTAGGGATGCAAGATAGCTGTCAGGTATAGGGATGCAAGATAGCTGTCAGGTATAGGGATGCAAGATAGCTGTCAGGTGTAGGGATGCAAGATAGCTGTCAGGTGTAGGGATGCAAGATAGCTGTCCGGTGTAGGGATGCAAGATAGCTGTCCGGTGTAGGGATGCAAGATAGCTGTCAGGTGTAGGGATGCAAGATAGCTGTCCGGTTTCTGAACGAAGACAGTTTCTTGTGGGAGATAGAAAAGTAGGGATGCAAGATAGCTGTCAGGTGTAAGGATGCAAGATAGCTGTCCGGTTTCTGAACGAAGACAGTTTCTTGTGGGAGATAGAAAAGTAGGGATGCAAGATAGCTGTCAGTTTTCTGAATGAAGGCACCATTTCTTTTGGGGAGATAGAAAAGTAGGGATGCAAGATAACTGTCAGGTTTCTGGACGAAGACACAGTTTCTTTTGGGAGATAGGGAGACTTGTCTTAGGGAGGAGATGAAGTCCATGTCGGAACACTCTTAGATGAAATCCAGTCCCAGTGAAGGCAATTGCAATCAGATAATAATACCTATTTAAAAAATGGTCTGTGACATGCTCAGCTCCTGGCTGAGAACAATGAGGAAAAAGTACAACCATATCACAGCTAAAAAAGGCAGCTGCCACCAGCTTTGTATGTTCTGTGTGCCGAGAGCGTTATCAATATGAACTCACACACCCTTTGAGTGTGCTGTTATTATTATCCCTGACTTACAGATTGGGGGTAGAAGTAGAAAGACTACTTAATAAGTGAGTGTTCCTGAACTCGGACTGCATATTTCACCTTAGGAGAGAATGTTGGGTTTCAGGATTCATTGAAGTTTTATTAAATGACGTCTGTCTTCAGCAACAGACTTTTTTTTCCCCAAAATTTAAGACAAATGCTTCTTTGTCTTATTTTTTAATTCCTTTGAACATTAGTTGATGTCTTATATTAAGGCAGATACCACCTGGGTTTTCCCTAGGACCACTAAGTACAATAATCAACATTGTCATTGATGGGAAAATGTAGCATCTCTGTTCAGGTGTCTCCAGTTGGGAAATGTTGAATGACAGCTAAACACAGCAAGGAGCAAGGCTTCATTCTAGAAAGGACCAAGCCTCGGTTTAGACAGGCATCGTTTTCCCTGGAAGTCTTCATTTGGTGGGGACCCAGACTGCTGAGGTTTTCTAGCCCTGCTGTCTGCTGTGAGGCGGTCCAACTTCCAAACGTGATCAGCAGCTGACCGAGTACTAGGGAGGAAGGGAAGACACAGGGTGAACACACTGGAGCTCAGAGACGTCCAGGCAGTAATGCGCTTGTCTGGTAAGCACCAGGACCCGAGTTCAATCCCTGGAACTCTCACCACTGCCCCAAATCCAGATGAGATGGCACACACCTGTGACCCCAGCACTCAGGAGGTGAAGACAGGCCCACACACACCGCACACACTCGTGCAGGCAGGCAGGAATTCACATGCACACACACACACACACACACACACACACACACACACACACACACACACAAAGACTAGCCACAACATTTAAAAGATATGTGAATGCATGGTGGGAGGGGGTCTTGATTTTCTTTTCTTAATCCATATTTTATTCTTTCTGGATAGCGCCTCCCACTTTGGGAAACAGGATCTCAGCTGGCTTGATGACTGGAGGTGTGGCAGTATTCATCGGGCAACCTACGGAGGTCGTGAAAGTCAGACTCCAAGCACAGAGCCACCTACACGGGATCAAACCTCGCTACACTGGGACCTACAATGCTTACAGAATTATAGCTACAACAGAAAGCTTCTCAACACTCTGGAAAGGTAGCTAAGTATCAGGTGGACTTTCATAATAATTAAGGCACACATACCTAATGAGCACCTTATCATAAACTTCATTTATTAAATGTTGTCTTGTTTTTCTCCAGGGACAACCCCTAATCTGATCAGGAATATCATCATCAATTGCACAGAGCTGGTAACATATGACCTCATGAAGGGGGCCCTTGTGAACAACCAAATACTGGCAGGTACTTCCCGTACACAATGAACATGTCTGCACCTTCCAATCTCAGTTTGGAGATTCAAAAGCCACAGTGTATTGAATTCCTTAATTCTAGTTGGCTTCTCTTTTGAGAGTTAAGTGTGTGTGTGTGTGTGTGTGTGTGTGTGTGTGTGTGTGTGTGTGTGTGTCAGAGACAGACAGATAGACAGAGAGGCAGAGAGAGAGGGGGGTGGGGCAGAGAGAGACTCAATGTCTGGTCACCAACTTTAAATCCTCCTGCCTCTGTGTCTCAAGTGCTGGGTTAAAAGTGTGTCCCACCACATCTGGCAAATGTAATCTTTTAGGAAGCAAAAACTACCTAAAGTTTAAAAATAGTGTTGGAAACAGTAAAAGTGCAGAGGAATGTTGTGGTGATATTCTCCACTAACACTAGGAAGGAACTTCCGCTGGGATTCTTCTCTGTGGACGGCAGAATCAGCAGGCAGACAAGAGCAGCTTACATTCAGAGTGAATCACTGATTTCATCTAAATCATATCCTAACTGTTTCTATAGACAAGACATTCTCCTTGGATGACTTGAATTCAACTGGACAGTATTAGATGCTTATGTGTCAGGCATGGCACCAGGTCCAAGGCACAAAGAAAACAGTGTCACCCTAAAATAACACACCTGAAAGTGGATATGCAGTCATTATGCCATTTACCATCAGCCACATTTTCCTAGCACAAGTGTATGTTTGCTTTTTATATGCTAATCTATTTATAAGATACCATATCAACTTCCTGTTACTAATAGATTTACAAGTATCTCACAGGTAACTACCACTACAGGCGACTCAAAGTCTGGTGTTGACACATTTCACTGGTTGCTTTCAGACGATGTTCCGTGCCACTTACTGTCAGCTCTTGTCGCCGGGTTTTGCACCACACTCCTGGCCTCTCCGGCAGATGTGGTAAAAACAAGATTCATCAACTCTCTACCAGGACAGTACCCAAGTGTGCCCAGCTGTGCAATGACCATGTTCACCAACGAAGGACCAACAGCTTTCTTCAAAGGGTAGGCTATGACCTTCTGTGTCTATGAAGTTGTGTTTCAGGTGCCTGTAGGCATGGGAACACTGTCTCAGCAAAGCAATTGGCATTTAGCTTACCAGGCCTGGTCCATCTATATCTTTGCTTTGTCATGGATCTCTTCAACCCACCAATCCTGACATGCCAGAAAATAAAAGCTAATCAATTATTTGTAGCGGTGCTTGAAGAGAATCAAACCCAGAACCTTGCACATCCCAGGCAAGCAATCTATCATTGAGCTATGCCCCCAGCCTACTTTTAAAAATTTCTTTTAAAGCAAAAAACACAGAAAATGTTGCTTGACTATTAAGACATAGATCACATTTTCCAACAAAATGATATTATATTATATTATATTATATTACATTATATTATATTATATGCCACATTCCTAATAAAATACAGTATGGCATAGTTTTTTAAATATATTCAACAAGTGTTACAATAATATAAAATAATAATATTTTGTAATCTTTTGAATTGTAAAGCCATGCCCTAAGATTTATAAAATAAAATATGTATGTGTCAGACATATTATATAAAGTCCTAAGTCCATCTGTTTTTATGATACATTAATACAAATAATGTAAATTATAAAATTAACTTAAAATGGATATATCACTTATAAATTATTAACCACTTAATTTAATGTTTTGCAAATTTATTTTTTAAATGTTGTTTTCCAAAATTTTTAAACTTTTTAAATATGAGATAGCCTTGACAAATGGTGCTAAATTAAGCAAGCTGAACCTGGTGTAGTGGCTCATACTTGTAATCCCAGAACATGGGAGGCTAAGGCGTGAGGACTGCCATGAGTTCAAGACCAGCCTGGAGTACAGAGTGAGTTTCAGGCCGGCCAGGGCCACACAGCAAGACCCTGTCTCTAAAAATGAAAACAAAGGCTGAGGAGATGGCTCGGTCTGTGACGCACTGGCCACATGCACATGGGGACGGGAGTTCAGTTCTAGAACCTGTGTCAAAAAGCAGAGCATGGTGCTACATGCTGGGAATCCCATGCTAGGGAGGCAGAAACAAGAGGTTCCCTTGTCTTGAAAAAGGGTGGGGGTAGATGGCCCTGCTGAGGAACCCCAAGGTGAGCCTTTGACAGGGGAGGTGGGGAGCTAGTGCTTACGGAATGAAGAGTCCGAGAAAACGAAAGGCTGTGGAGTCTGACACTGGTGTTTACTACACATTGTACATCTACTTAATGGCACAGAGGTATACATTGAAAAATGGTTGAAACGTCAAATTTTATGTTACTTATATCTTTTCACAAGAAGAAAACCCATGCATCTGGGAGTGAAGTGAACTCTATTAAGAGCCCTGGAAGAGGAAACACTCACTGCAGAGGCTGAGTGTGTTGGCACACACATGCGGTCCGGCACTGGGGAGGCAGGAGAGGGAATGATGGTCGTTAGAAGTCTGAAGCTAGCCTGGGCTGCACAGGCTACCCTGGGCTATACAGCAAGACCCACTCTCAAAACTAAAACAAAACAAATAATAAAAACAAAGCTCATTGGGAGGAAATTGCAGGAAAGGCTTCTTTTAAAAATAAATAATTAATTTTTAAAAAGTCTATTCAGGGGCAGAGAGAGCTCAGTAATTAAGTCCACAGGCTGTTCTTCCAGAAGACCTGGGTTGGATTCCCAGCACTCATATGGTGACTTACAACCATGTACAACTCCAGTTCCAGAGAATCAGATGCCCCTCTGGTCTCCCCGAGCACCAGGCACGCACATGATACACAGACACACATGCAGGAAAAACACTGGCGCACAAATTTGTTTTTCAAGTATCTAACCAAAGCAGATTTAGTTGTCAACACATTTGTCTTCTGGAGTAATTCATTGATATAAAAACCGTTCTGTGTAGTTTAGTAAAATTCCCCAAGCCTGGAACTGACCGAGTCACATTCAGGCTCTAAGAATCTCTCAAGAGCTGTGGAGGGGGAGACAGCGCGAGGCTCCCCACCTGGACCACTCGGGGCTCCCCACCTGGACCACTCGAGACTCCCCACCTGGATGTGGTCAGCATGCTAGCTGGCTGCTTTGTCTCTTCCCTCTGCTTCTTCCCTTACTGCTTTCCTACTTCCTGTCTAGGAAGTAAAGTGAAACAAAAATGTCCTCTTCCCACAAAGGGAGGGAAGTGTTGCTGGACACTGCCTTCTCAGGAGATTTGCTCCAGCTCTGTGGGAGCGGGGGACAGGTAGGACTGGTCCAAGTGTGATCTTGCTGTGAAGGGTAGACATAGAAGATGCCTAGAGGCAACCTGGTTGTCAATGGAGGGAAGATGAGTGCTGAGTACTGTTACCTTATTTTACCTTATCCCTTGCATTGGATGACTCATGGCACCCAGGCTTTATGACTTTCCAACAACTAACAGACTGTGTCATGTGCTTTCTCAGGTTTGTGCCCTCTTTCCTGCGACTCGCATCCTGGAATGTCATCATGTTCGTGTGCTTTGAACAGCTGAAGAAAGAATTGATGAAGTCAAGGCAGACGGTGGACTGCACCACATAACCCACTTGGAGAAGATGATGGAGTACAGCAGCGGGTCCCTATGCCTGGAGACTGTGAATAAAACCGACCAACCAAACCAACCCAACACCTCTGGCCACTCATTTACCTTAAAAGATCATTTCTTGCGGAAAGTTTTGAAACTCCTTCTAATTTTTTTTAAAGGGAAAACTAACACACACAATTTTTATTCTCACTGTCTTAAGGAGGGAAAAGCACACCATCCAGTACACATGCTGGCAAATATTGCCCACATAAGGTACTGTGTTTAACTGGTCTTTTGGGGGTGGGATTGTATGGCTGGGTATAAATAATTTAAATTACATCTCAGACTGGTGGAAAGGAAAACTTTACATCCATAAACACTTAAAAGATGAAGTTATCAAAGAAAACATTGCTGTTTCATTATATTTGTTAACCACAGTTCACAGTTAATATAATCAATAAAGTATTGCTAATTCCATTCAAAATTTGTCATTTAGAGTCTATACCTGGATTTAAGAGTTTGGGCTCGGTTAGAATACAGAATTGTCCCCATGGCAAGGGAGGTTCTTCAGAATCAAGGCACAAACTAACTTGGTTCGTACAGCTATCTGGAGTCCACACTTCGTGGCATCAGTAACAGCTTATATCTGGAGACACGATATTCATTTGGTCACTAATTTTACTGTTGGTGAATCGTGATTGTGTCTTCCGCACAGCGCCAAGATGGTGAGCAGCAGTGGAGTGAGCTTTTTAGTTTATTTTTATTTCACTCTTACAAACTGAGCGGAAGAGTAGAAAGCAGACACCAGATTAAAGTGGAAAGGAAGGACCAGGAAGCCCTCACTAGTCAGGCATCCTGCTGCTGTTTTAGGGTTCCAGTGAATTTGCTCTGGCGGATTCGCTCCTGGGCCTCATGTTGGTTGTGACGGTCTGTTTTGTGTTGTTCTGGGGTCTTTTTGCTCCGCCCACAGAGAAATCATAGGTAAACAGGAGAGATTCTTCAAATGCTGGTCGTTGGTGCCCTCTGTGTCCACCAGTGATGGCAACAGCAGATAGCAGAGGCGGAGGCAGCCATGGGTGCTCCTTGTACAGGATGCTTCTTTGTGTTTCCATTCTTCTGTAGGCCCAGGATGTCGGGGTTCTGCAGCCCTGGGCTGGTAACTAGTGCTGTAGCTCTAAAGTCGCCAAGGCAGCAGAGCTCCTCAGCCCTTGACAGCAGATGGTATTGCAACTCCTGTGTGGGTCTAGGAAGATGAGAGTTCTATGTTAACTTAACATTGGTCAGTGTCACAGCTATGGGCCAGGCTCCTGCCATTAGCGTGGTCTGCCAGCTATTGAGCTGGATTGGAGGAAGACAAGACCACTTGAGAGAAACCTCTGACTGAACATACTGTCGCAATGCCAGAGGAGGCAGGTCAGGTGTTGCTCTCCAGCTGACTCCCTCAGTTATCCCAAGCAGCCTGACCTAACAGCCAGGGAAGGGATGTTTGCACCAATCACAGCACACACATGCAAATGAAGGAGCATGTTTGCACTCATCAAGGCCTCAGCTCTTGGTTCCCATCACAGCAGCTCCTTCACTAGACTGCCAGGGGACGTGCTCCTTCTCTGGCCTGTGTGCTCATGGCTGGGAAGTTGTCTAGAATTCACCAAGGCTTGTGATAGCCAAAAGTCTGTGCCTCCGGGAACTGGGGCAATCAGTGCCTTTCTTTGGGTAGTTTTGACAAGGCCTTCATGGGGTTTTCAAAGCATCTAATATTGACAGAAGGGTAATCCAGCTATGTTTGACGGACAGTCCTCTCACTGAAAACAGCTAGGAAAGCAAGGGAGTCCAAAAGGTGCTTACTGGCCAGTTAGCATCGTTGCTTACTTACAGGAAAATCAACACCAGATGGTATGCTCAGGGAAAAGATTTAAAGACCTTAATATTGACACTAATAGTGATTTTAACATTTAACATCTGCCCAGGGCCCCAGGGAGAGCTGAGTTTCCTCTATCTGTCTCAGGGAAAGGACACATTTGTTCTTTTTATAGTAACCCACCTTCAGGGAAGTCACTCCAGAGAGGCATGACCTGTTCTTCCGAACCAGCATTGATCTGTTTGTAAGTGGGGAATACCCCAGGACCTGTTACCTCCCCAGGCCTCACACCTTTCATGTTCTGCCGTCTCAACAGTGCGTGCCGGGGATGGCTCCACTAGCACACGGAACTAGAGAAATAACCACACCTAAAGCCCATCACCTCCATTCCTCATTTGTCACCTGCAGGAGAATTTTGTGGTGGGTGTTTTCAGTGTCTTTTCCAGACATACCGTCCAGCAGCTCTTACTATGACTTCCTACAGTTCTGGGAGCACCTCTCTTCTTCAGGGTCTTCTCATCTAGAGTCATCATTGCCCACCTGTGGGCGGCACCTGAGATCTGGGTGCAGAGCTTTGAGCAGTGAGGGACTGAGATGATACATCATTTTCTCATTTCTGTAAACCTTCCAGTAAAATGCCACTGACAGATCAAACTCAAGCTGCATACAGTGGCATCCTGCTTAAAACGAAGATCCTTTCTGCATGATCGGCTGGCTCCCTCTCAGTCTCCAGGGCCTGGCCAGTGTCACCTGGGATCACCTTGCATGGGATGCAAAGCCTTTGCTAAGGTTGGCTTCTGAAGGAATCCAAAAACCTTAGCATATCATGTTTCAAGCATAAGGGAGAAAGCACAGAGTTTCATTTCTTTGCCTGTGTCCTGCTTCCCCCGAAGGCAGTAACAAATGAAGGGAATTAAGGTTCTAAACCCTGGGACACAGAAGTCATTAGAAAATGTGTCTGACATTGTGTACAGAGAGGTAAAACAAGCATAGGTCCTGCATTCACATCCAAAGACAGAAGTAAATTGGTGACAGTGGCTCCTGGCAGCTCACTGAATGCCATGGTTAGCAGCCTCATCTGGGAAGAGCCCCTTCAGGAGGGGGGAGGGTCGCAGCCAGTGACTTTTTGTTCACACAGATGGCAATGGTTGTCATCCGAGCCTTCACTGTGTAACGAGGTAAAGGCGGCAACTCCCCTGCTTACGAATCACATTAGCTTGCTTTTCTCTTCAAGTTTTAGTAGGATTTATTTTATTTTTTTTTAGTAGGATATTTTTATATAGTAAAATATATAGGGAATAATATATTTAGTAGAGAATATAACATGTATACAAAAAAGCACATAAAACAAGCGAATGACTTCAATTATCACAAAGTGAGCAAACAGCCACAGGAAGGCTCAAGAGACAGTCTCAAGTACCCAGATCCACTTTCATCCTGGGACTTTACCTCTGTGGCTAACGGTCAGTCTTTTTTAAAATGTAGGTTCACAATGCAGGCATTTACCCTCCACTTGTCTTATCTGAGAGGTTATTTTTTTTGTTTTGTTTTTTGTTTTTTGTTTTTTCGAGACAGGGTTTCTCTGTGTAGCTTGGCGCCTTTCCTGGAACTCGCTTTGGAGACCAGGCTGGCCTCGAACTCACAGAGATCCACCTGCCTCTGCCTCCCGAGTGCTGGGATTAAAGGCGTGCGCCACCACCGCCCGGCATCTGGGAGGTTTTATGTCGATTAAGCCATTTGTTGGGTGTGTAGAATCTTTTGGTTGATATTGTAGATTTAGGGCTACTCACGCAGTTTCTCGTAGCTGCAGTTCATAGATGATCAGCAGTACCCAGCAGTTTATTGTAGAAATTATCAGACCTGATTTCCTCTGTTTGATAGGCATCTGAGCCTTCTTTTCAGGCTATATGAATTCTTATGACATAGGTACTCATTTCCTGCTTCAGCTATGACAGATTATCACGAATTAAGTGGCTTCGAACAATACAAAATCTGATGGTTCTAAAGAGAGAGATCTCAAATGCATTCATTGAGGTGTGTCCCTCTGCAGGTCCCAGAGAATGCGGTCTCATCGTCAAATCCCTGACTTCTCCACTTCTTTGAATTCGCTTCTATCATTTAATGTAACAAACTCATTTGCTCATCCTTGGAGGCTATTTCCATTTGATACACATGCTCTGGTACACATGTGCACGCATTTGTGTAGGACAGCTTAGCGAGTCAGGCCTTTCCCAGTGACAGATCAGGCTGTTGTTTCATAAAACACCTCTTTGCTGCAGCCAAGTGTGGATTATATTTTCCCACCACTTGTCCTCAGTTTCCCTCTAGAGCTCTCTGTGTCGATGGCTAAACAGAAGTGACATAGCACAAATAGAAACCTGTCTGCATGGCTGGCTTGCCCATGAGCACCCCAACAGTCCACCAGGAGTGGGCAATGCCCTGCGGAGTTATTGACATAAAAAGACTCCAGCAGTGGAGGCAAGGGTGTCCCTCTGAATACAGACCACGAAGGAGAAAAAAAACTGCTTGAATTTATAGATTGCATTCAATCTGTAAGATCAATACGAAGAGAAAGTATTTTCCAATCCCTGAATATGGTATGTATCTCCAGTTTTGTTTTTAATGTAGCATGGCATGTCTCCTCATCAGGGTGTAATACATACAGGATGTAATGATAAATATACCACATTTGGTGTATTTATTCTTAGGTGCTTGTCTTAGGATTTCTATTACTTTAATAAACACTATGAACAAAAGAAACTTGAGGAGGAAAGGGTTTATTTCATCTTACACTTACTGGTAACTACATCACTGAGGAAAGTCAAGGCGGGAACCTGGAGGCTGGAAGTGGAAGAGACAGCACTGAGGAGTGCTCTTTACCGGCTTGATCATCCTGACTTTCTCATTTTGTTCTTATACCCACCTGTCCGGGGGTGACATCACCCACAATGAGCTGGGCCCTCCCACATCAATCATCTACCAAGAAAATGGCTTTCAGGCTCATCTACAGGCCAATCCTATGGCAGCATTTTCTCAGTTAGGATTCTTTCTTCCCAGCTGACCTACCTTATGTTCAATTGACCCAAGGCTAGTCTGCACAGCACTGGGTATTTTTAGATACTGTAGACATTTTTAAAGATTTTCTAGGTGCGTTTGGATGGCATATTAAAATATAATTTTTGAAATCTATTTAAGAGTCATTTCTGCATTTTTTTGCTCTTGTTCTATTCGCATGCTTGACAGTCTAACAGATTTAACTGTTACATACACAATTTTTAAAATTGGCACAAAAATTGTATAGATATATGGGGTACTGTGTAATTTTTAATACACATTTCACTGTGTAATGTTCACACCAAGGTGTATATACAAGTATATAAACACCTATAGCTCCTTACTTATTCTTTGTGGTGAGAACATTCAAATCTCCTTTGCATCTTCTTTGAAATGTGCAGTACACTGTCCTCTAAGGCTATGGAATGTGCCGTTGACTTCACTTTCTGACTTTGATCAGTTTCTTTGTTTTGGCTTTTTTGCTTGCTTGTTTTTTGAGGTAGAGCCTTACTCTGTAGTCCCAGTAGGCCTCAAACTCTCAGAGCTTTCCAAGTACTCTGGAGTACACAGGTAAGCCACCATGCCTGGTTTTCATACTGATTTTATTAGTAACTTTGCCAACTCTTTATAGTTTATACAGCAATTCTTTAAAAATTGTTTTTTCTTTGTGGCTGGAGAGATGGCCCAGCTGTTCTTCCAGAGGTCCTTAGTTCAATTCCCAGCAACCACATGGTGGCTCACAACCATTTATAGTGGCATCTGATGCCCTCTTTTGGCATAAAGGTATACATGCAGATAGAGCTCTCATATACATAAAGAAATAAATCTTAAATTTTTTTCTTTGCACATTTGTATACTTCTGAGCAGTACCTTGTTACTTTCTATCATTTGTTCCTCTACACTGTCTCTAGTGGCACACAGCACATTTCCACGGGTCCCCATTGACAGCAGAGGACACTTCCCTCTGTATCCACACTAGGCTTGGTCACATGGTTTGCTGTGCCCAGGGGCACACACTGTGAGAGGCTGGAATGTTTGAGCAATTGAGCTTGCTATTGTGCACCTGAAATCACTGTAAGGATACGCCTCAGATTAGTTCCAGAACTGGAACCAAAACTGTTCAAAAATTGGCAGCCCTGGACTTAAGGCAAGAATCCTAAAACCATCCTCGCTGATGAGCTAGCCTACTGGCATATGAGTAAATGTATTTGATGTACCACCAAGTAGCTTTGTTTTGTAGTTGATGGCTAGACAACACTGCTGTGACATTAGCTGGCTTACAAAATTGTGATAGAAGCAATGCTTTTCATTTGGTCCCTGTTGTACAGGTTATCACACTTTTATGTTTTATAAAATGATGATCACTATTAATGCATTTGCTTAATGACTTAAAAAAAAACTCATTGCATTTTGTGTTGTGTGTGCTTGTGGGTACACCTGAGCCAGACCCAGCTACTGACATCAATTCTATAACATGCCGATAATCTATCCACTGTTCACATTGCTATTTTTAACAGTTTTTTTTTCTCTATTTTCACTTATTTTGTTCTTCTCTATGAAAACCTTGAGGTGTCTTCAATTTTCACCCTTTCCATCTTGCTAGAAGCATTTACAGGCAGAGGAACTTATGAGGGCTGCTGCAGCTTTATCCAGACTATTCTACAGAGTTGGTTATTTCAAAATAAAATACAAAACTACATCCTACAGTGCCATGCAGTTATAAAAATTGAGTCTTGATAGATAAACAGAACCAAGAAACACTGTACAGAAAATGTGCAGGATGGCTCACTTCCGCCCATGGCGAAAACTAGGTGGGGGAGGGGAATGGTGGCTTCTTGTAAAATAAAGCAGATTTTTAGTCTCATAACCACTTACTCTCCTCAGCAACATCTTATATACTTACAAAGTGAGTTAAAAGTCACAGATCTATGAGTTACAACTTACCTGTAATTTAAATAAGAAAGCGTTGTTTCATGAACTCAAATGACTTAAACAGGGGAGGGACACAAAGGCAGTCCAAACATCCACAGAAAGGCTTACAACAGTTTCAGCTGTTTTTATTTTCTCACTTAACATCACAAACAAAAGGACAATACATCTCACACTATTGCTTTTACTTGAAACTCAAATGCTTGATGCAAAATAGACAAAAATTTAAGTTGCCAGCCAGTACTTTCCCTCCAGGGAACACTACTGCTTAAATATTTGTCAGTACTTTAATAAAAACATAGACCTACCCTACCAAAGTTAATGTGGTTGTTGGGTACTCCCTACACTACATTTGAAACTTTTTTTCTCAACAAAAACTGGAGGCAGAAAACACCAAAACCACAAGGTATGATATTTCTCACACATGAACAAGCCCACTCATCTCCATTTAAAAGCTGCTTGTGTGGAGACTCCACACATGAACGTGACACAAAGCCTCATCAGCCACGGGATTCTTCATGGATGAGAATAGAGCATCTGTCCTGAGGACCCAGCTGCTGGTGCTCAGTCACGGTCACAAGACTCAAGGTTATCACCCTCCAGGCACACCTCTCTCTTCAGTGCCATGACACCCTCCCTACAGAGACGAGCAGGTGCTTTTCACACTCACGTAATGTGGTTTTTCCCTTTGAGCAAAGCTTTTAATCAAAGTCCTTTCATTGAATATTCTCAATGGACAGAACGGCATGAATGGTGGCCAACACTGAAGGAAGAGTCATGAGTGCACACATTTTCATAGAAAAATACATACAAATCCAAGTAGCCACTAAAATAGAAAGAAAAAAAAAACAGCGTAGGGATTATCAAGAAAGATTCTGATTTCTGAACTGTAAATGGTGCAGTTGAAATTCATTTTTATACCTAGTTGTACTGTTACATTTATTTACAAAGAGGCTGGTCTGGATTCAGTGACACCCGGTGTCTCCCATTTTTAAAAAGATTGTCTTTGAAAGCATTTGAACTGGAAATGTTGCAGTTATATTTTTATGCTACTCTTGTCACTGGTAAAGTCTCTTCAACCTCGCACATACGAAAATTCATTTCCACATTGATTTGTTTCACTAAAACTAACATAACTTTCCTGCTACTTTGATGCTGTGACCATCAATTGCTGCACTGTCATTTCCTAGTTCTAGACACATAAAGATCTACCCATGTGTTTTCAAACTACATAATCCTGACACCTTTGAAACTGTGTCTTCCTCCCTGCATATGCCTAAACCGTCAGCCAGAGGGTTCGTGTCACAGTCTCATGTACACCCAGTGACAGTCAAATTCTAGAACTCTGAAGCTGTCATTGGCTTATAGATCAGTTCCCTATGTAAATATCTGAAATGGTTAATAATAATTTCAGTAAAAAACAAACAATATCTGTAACGTACAGACAAAGGAGAATTAAGACTGTGACATTAACTGAACTACGGCATGTCCTTAATATCACAGAGGTTTTCTGCTGGGAAATGCTTTATTACTTAAAAATGTCCTCCTTCATACTTCAAGTACTCTTTTTATTAAGTAGGCTGATAAGGAGTTCAATCAGTTCAAGATCTAAGCTGCTGAAAAATTAAAATAAATGGTAAGTATTTTTAGTGCAAAAGTTAAAGACTTACACAACTGCTTTCCATGGAAAAGTTAATACTACAATACAATGAACGATAATGGTGAACATATGCTCCTTGTTAGGGTTTTGTTACAATATATCATAAAACCTGGACAACAAAAGATTTTTCAAAAGTGAAATGAATATATTACCAGGGTTGAGAAAGTCCCCTATAAGAAATCAATTATTAAGTTCCTATAATACTGAAAAGCTAAATCCTTTCTAGTATTATAAAACAAACCTACTTTTAGAAAAAGTTTCATCTTCCATAAGGAAAAACAATTTTAACACATGTATTGTAATGCACGTGCTACACAACACTACAGCTGTGGCTTTCCCATGGGACATCTGTACCGTTCTCTCTTCGACCAGCATGAAGATAGGAACTTATCAAAAGACACGAACAAACTGTTGGAAAATACCAAATCTTCCTCTATCACATGAGCTAGTCTTTAGATACCTGATATTAAAAGATGTGCAAAATATCACCATGTTTGAGATTAAATTATTATATTGTGAACCGGTTTCCACAGGACATAAAACTGTCTCACAAGCCAATAATCTTTCCTAACTTTAGACTCTTTTAACTTTGCTCTGAGAACAAATCTCTAGAACTTGCCAAGAGGAAACCTCATCACGTATGATCCTCAACAGTACTTGTTGCCCTCCTGAGATTGGGGGGAATAAAGCTATACAAATGCACAGTCATAGTCCAGGCTACGGCACCCACAGCCTGTTAACCAGGTCCCTAGAACATTACCCAGAAACACCAGAGTCAAGGCAAGGACAAGCAAAAGTGAACAGCAAGCCAAACACACCAATGATGGAGAACAGACATTTCGAGAAAGCTCTAAGTTTTCTTCCTGTGTAAGTTTCAAAGACAGTTTTATCTTAAAAGAAACCATGTTTCCAAAGTCCGGATTTTCTGAGTAGATGCACCACCTTAATAACACACAGAGAGAGGGCCTCACAGCTGTGAAGAAGGTTCTCTATACTGAGCAAGAGTAAATGCTTAGAAACCTTGAAATAAGACCTCTAAAGAGTGTCATTCATAAATGAAAAGCTAGTCTCCCACACTGCATTCTCTCATTTCCTGTTATGGTCAGTCATCAGAGAAATCAAGACCGAAGCCATGATTCTTCACCCTCTGACAGAGCCATGCTCCCCCCACTCTAAGGAAAGGACATCCTGACAAGTGCTGAGACTCAAAGAAAGCCTTATGGCTCACCTGGTGCCTGTCTGTCTAGAAATAAAAAAGAGGAGCACACTCAAAACCCATTTCCAGACTGAACAATAATCTTGGAGAGTTCTGAAATTTTGAGAGATATCAGCTTGAGAGCTACAACACCTAAAAATGAGGTTCGTGCACATTTTAATCAACTGGCTAAATATAAATATACCTGATTTACACTTTTAAACTAACAGGTTAAGTCCCAAGTTCCAAACTGTAGTTTATGTGACTCCAGAAGGGCTCTTTGGAAGGGTGCAGAACCTGTGGAGAACAGTGTATAAACAACTGTAAACATACACTGATTGTCCACTAGCTTTCTTAAATAGAGTTCTCAAGTATTTTGTAGGAAATTATATATAAGAGTGTAGTTGATTAGATAATTTCTATAACATATAAATTCTGCTGTATGTGCAAAACATGGTAGAAAGAGAAGACACTATGATGTTTCATGTTTTCAAAGTGAGTACAGCATTGTAATCCATTAAGAGTCCTTTAATCTTCTCATGAAACTTCTCTCTGTACAAGTTGAAGTACATAATGCTTTCTGGTTCTTCTTCAAGCCAAAACTTGTCAAATTCACAGACAAGGTAACCTGCAATTAAAAACCACACAAACACAATGTCCACAGGAATAAAATTATATTTAGAGCATCTCATCTTCAGAAAGTATACATCCACCTTGCCAGGGAGTTGGCTCAGTGGGTAAGGCTGCTGGGCTGGCAAGCCTGACAGACAACCTTCGCTCAAATATAGAAAGTAAAGCACAAAACGCACTAAGAGATCCATCTCCCATTACTTCCCTGGATTTCATAGATCTTAAACAATAGAAGGATGAGCATACACTCTGTACTTCAGAGGCATTAGGCTAAAAACTATACATCCTGCCTTGTTGGGAGTTAACCATGCTCTGGTACTGACTCCTTCTAATACTCACAGTAAAACTGGTGGAAGTGCTCCATTGTTGGTATCCCAGGAACGAAGTTGTAGAGATGAAGCTTCAAGGCTTCGCTCTTGAGTAAGCTATAAGCCATCTCTGTGAGGTTGATCCCAACTATTGCATAAGAGTACCTACGTCAGAAACATCACCAGTTACACAGCTAGCCGACGGCCCGCAACAAGTGTACAGTGCATAAGTAACTTACTAATTCACTCCAATGGATTCGCCGCTGGCCTAACGCAGGACGCACTTTGCCATAATCTCTCTATATTTAGACAGTCAGAAAGATCCAAAGCATTTGTTTTTTGAAGGTTGTTAATTTCTGAATAGAAGCTAAGAAGTAAAAATAAAAGTTTCTACCATATAACAACTAAAAAAAAACCCAGAGAGAGAAGTCTAATTTCGCTCACCAAGCTTCACTGTTCTGATTATTACATATAAAGCAATATAAAGCTAATAACAAGGCCTCAATTTACATTTCCTTTACCATTTTCAAAGCTGACTCTGATTTTCCTATTTCAATTAGTTTCTACTCCTACTCTGAAATAGTTTTTGAAAAAATTATGGGCCCTTCCATCTTTGTTTTATAAACTATATCATATGATAAAATTTACTGGAATACATAGAACATTTATGATTTTTCTTTAAAATAGTTAATAATATCATTTTATAGTTATCACTTATTAAAATAACATCATTTTAAGATTTATATAGTCATTTTTATTGCAAGAGTCTAGCTTTTTTAACGTTTGTCCAGCTTACCCTAATTTGGGATGATTAGAACGGGAAAGAATCTGGTGGGCCTCACTGGTGTACTTTTCACTGAAATACCTAAACAAGTTCAAGGAAAATGAGGAAATGAAAATGCTCCAATCACAAGTAACATAAAACCTTCAGTGCAAGCAACTCCCACACTCACAACACCAGCCCTCACTCCCACACTCACAACACCAGCCCTCACTCCCACACTCACAACGCCAGCCCTCACTCCCACACTCACAACGCCAGCCCTCACTCCCACACTCACACCAGCCCTCACTCCCACACTCACACCAGCCCTCACTCCCACACTCACAACAACAGCCCTCACTCCCACACTCACAACACCAGCCCTCACTCCCACACTCACAACACCAGCCCTCACTCCCACACTCACACCAGCCCTCACTCCCACACTCACAACACCAGCCCTCACTCCCACACTCACAACACCAGCCCTCACTCCCACACTCACACCAGCCCTCACTCCCACACTCACACCAGCCCTCACTCCCACACTCACAACAACAGCCCTCACTCCCACACTCACACCAGCCCTCACTCCCACACTCACACCAGCCCTCACTCCCACACTCACACCAGCCCTCACTCCCACACTCACACCAGCCCTCACTCCCACACTCACACCAGCCCTCACTCCCACACTCACACCAGCCCTCACTCCCACACTCACAACAACAGCCCTCACTCTCACACTCACACCAGCCCTCACTCCCACACTCACAACAACAGCCCTCACTCCCACACTCACACCAGCCCTCACTCCCACACTCACACCAGCCCTCACTCCCACACTCACACCAGCCCTCACTCCCACACTCACAACAACAGCCCTCACTCCCACACTCACACCAGCCCTCACTCCCACACTCACAACAACAGCCCTCACTCCCACACTCACACCAGCCCTCACTCCCACAGCCACTCCGTTCCCTCTCATGTCATCTCAGTGGCTCAATCCTAAGGAGTCAGGCCTGTCAGGGAACACAGGCAGGCTGGCTCTGGGCAAGAGTATTTTACAGAAAACTCACCTACAAACGGATTTCCTATTTACTTACAAAAGAAGAAAAGTCCTAAGTTCCTGTTCGCAAACCTGCTAATTCTCGCCAACCTGCACAATACTCAGAGGCACCTGCCGGGCCACCCTTCACTACTTCCTGTCACAAGTGGGTGTGTATTTCCACAATACTCAGAGGCACCTGCCGGGCCACCCTTCACTGTCTACTTCCTGTCACAAGTGGGTGTGTATTTCCACAATACTCAGAGGCACCTACCGGGCCACCCTTCACTGTCTACTTCCTGTCACAAGTGGGTGTGTATTTCTAACCCCTGCTGACGAGCAGACATTACAGAAGATGTGAGTCCTGGCCATCTTCACATCAGCCATGCCTTAAACACAGTGAAGACAGAGGGCTAGAGCAGACTCTGTTCAATTACTCAAGCCCCAGGCTTCAGTTTACTCGTCTGATGGACACGGGGAAGTTGCCCACATTCCTTAAAGATTATCGTGTAATTTATCCTTAGGAAGCAGAATTATATAGAACTTCTAAGATTTTAGACATTACCAAAACATACATGCTTTTATAATGTAAAATAATATATATCTTGAAATCTCATTATGTATATCTTTCTCCCCAAGTTTTATCCATATTGACCTACATATTTTTTTCTCAATATTTTCTTAGTTCAATTTCAGATTTTTTTTCACAGTAAGAATTATCTGAAGAGCTGGGCAGCGGTGGCGCACACCTTTAATCTCAGCACTCAGGAGGCAGAGGCAGGTGGAACTCTGCGAGTTCAAGGCCAGCCTGGTCTACAGAGTGAGTCCAGGACAGCCAGGACTACACAGAGAGACCCTCCCTCAAAAAAACCAGAAAAAAATATTCAAAGAAATTATTGGCTTCCCATTCTCTACATTATTTATAGTCTGTAAATCACAGTTCACAGATAAACTGAAACATTGTAGTCTGCACACCTGCATAACTATAGAAGGCCTGCATCTCAACCTTGCTAGTGCTGTGATCCACTAATGCTGGTGACCCCAACCATAAAATTATTTTGTTGCTACTTCATAACTGTAATTTTGCTACTGTTCTGAATCATAATGTAAATATCTGATATGTGCCCCACACAAACAGGGGTCATGACCCACAGGTTGAGACCCACTGGTATAAGATCTCATTCTTCCAGTTACTTACTAGAAGTGCTAGCTATCAGCTGTGACTCCTAGTGCATATTCTGGGATGTCATGCACACGGCCTGAGAACTAGGGAAAAGGCAAGTGTCACAGCCATGACAGGAGAGGTTCAGGTCACCTGCAAGGGGCAATGAGGAGCATGTCACCAACCCTAGTCTGTCTTCCCAAACGGAATCAGAGCCACCCAGTGGAAACGAGAGGCAGAAACAGAAAGGAATGTTCATAATATTCTCCAAGAGGCAAATGCTTAAGCAGGTGTCAGAAGTGAGGCTGGAAAGAGCAGGGAGGAGGGATGCACTGCACACACTGGTGAGTAGTCACACGCACACACACGCGCGCGCGCACACACACACACACACACAGACACACACGTACATCTTCTAATTGTTAACAGCATCCTAGCATACATGCGCACTACAGTTATAAAAACTTAAGAGTCAATAAGAAACAGCAGGTCAATTTTCACTAGAATAAATAGAAACTGGAAATTACACAGAATTTCATTCAGCCAAGGAAAGGAAACTTATTTCACTTACACAAGATTGATTAGGCCGAGTATGCCCATGCCTCTGAAGTCTGTTTTGGGATCATCACCTTGGAAACCAATGTCCGCCCACTGCTTGGAAATTCGGGCCTTCAACTTTTCCGTAGGCATCAGAAGATTCCAGAGCTGCACAAACATGCTTTTGTGTTACAAATAATAGTGGTGTTCTTGGTTTATTGGGACATTTTCCTTTTCTTAGATTAGATAACTCATAATTGAATACTTTCAGTTCAACAACTTTTAGGCAAATTCTAAGACCACAAGGACTGCATTTTAAACATGGTATATCTAGTTCAACCAGAAAGACTGTCATAAAGAATCATTTTTTTAAAAGTAAAAAAACACGGAAATCTAGAGCAATGTGTTTACTAATATATATACATATACATATATATGTATATATATATATATATATATATAGTATTAGATGTAAATATATATCTCCTAGAATTAAATGGCTTAAGAGCAATCTTGTGTAAATGGACCCATAATTTGTCTTGACTAGGTTCTACTGTAACATTGGGTGGTTAATCTTTAATCCAATAAGATAAAATAAAATAGGTCTGAGGGAGGGGACTATGAAGAAATAATATTAATAAAACTCAAGAGACAAGAGATAAGTGTGTGTGTGTGTGTGTGTGTGAGAGAGAAAGAGAGAAAGAGAGAGAGAGAGAGAGAGAGAGAGAGAGAGAGAGAGAGAGAGAGAGAGAAATAAATTCTTTTTCTTTTTTTTTTTTTTTGGTTTTTCAAGACAGGGTTTCTCTGTGTAGCTTTGCGCCTTTCCTGGGACTCACTTGGTAGCCGGGTGGTGGTGGCGCACGCCTTTAATCCCAGCACTCAAGAAACTATTTCATAAAATTTAATTTTTAAAAGAAAAAATGGCTTGGTTGTAAATAAGTAGAATCTTTTAACACTAAGTTGTTATCAAGAGTTACTGACTAATCTTTCCCTCCGTTAGATATGAACATACCAGTCAATGAAAAATAATTAACAAAGAGTGTCCTGTCACCTAATAACCTGTCAAGGCTGTGGCCTCCCAGAATCCTGGCCCTGACGCTAAATCTAACTCTTGGACTGGACTTTATGTCGCCCACTCTCTTACTAGCTCATTGGCACTGACGAGGACGTGACCACAGCAATAAGGCTTTCGATGTGGGCTGCAGTGTAAACCACCTACTGCTCAGTTTTCAGTTATTTGCTTGTTTATGGAGATGGCGTCTTGTTAGGTAGCTAGGATGTTCATGAACCCAATCCTCCTGCTTCAATCTTCAAAATTCTGGGATTATACTACATGCCATCATATTCAGCTTTTAATACTTAAAATCTAATATCCATAAATACAATTATGGGCTGCAGCCTGGAGATTCTGATTTCATAAGGTTAAGGTGGAAGCTTATATCCCAAAAGTAGACACTGCCAAAAGCAGGTGAGCACGTACGTCTTTGGATTATACTTAGAACTACTTCATTCCCACAGTTCTCTTCCCAGGACGGCTGAGCAGTGTGGTAAACCTCAGCCAGCAACTGCCACTCTACCTCCAGAGCTGATCTGCTTAATGAGCAGCCGAGGGAGAGCTGCCTGATTAGGGCACTAGGACATGGGTCTTACGCCTTCATGAAGGCAGGTGTGACCCAGAAAGCGTCTCAAATTAAGGAGAATGAAGATGAGGAGTAGTCATCTAGCATGCTTTTAATCACTTCAAATATAAGCCCAACCCACACAATAACTCTTTATTAATCTCAAAATAAAATCAAGTTTTGTTTTTTTTTTTGTTTTTGTTTTTGTTTTTCGAGACAGGGTTTCTCTGTGTAGCTTTGCGCCTTTCCTGGGACTCACTTGGTAGCCCAGGCTGGCCTCGAACTCACAGAGATCCGCCTGGCTCTGCCTCCCGAGTGCTGGGATTAAAGGCGTGCGCCACCACCGCCCGGCCAAAAATCAAGTTTTATTTTAATTTTGCAATTAGATAAAGTGTTTATTTACATTTTTCCTAAAAAACGGTTTTCTTATTTGTTTAGACTTATTTATTTTCATCTTATGTTTATGAATGTGTTGATGAGCACCATGTGTGTGCTTCATGCCTTCCAAGGCCAGAAGAGGGCATCAGATCCCCTGGAACTGGCATTACAGACAGTTGTGATCCACCATGTGGGTGCTGGGAATTGAACCTGGGTCCTCTGCAATAGCAGTAAGCACTCTTCGGTGCTGAGCCCCCTCTCCAGCCCTAGTTTTGCTGTTTTAAACATCTGATCTTTTGTAGATGTCCCCAGCGTTACTTTCCATAGGACTTTTGGTTGTCAAGTCCTAACTCCGAGTGCAGTATATGCTAACAATGCATGTAAGGTGAGAGTGGAAGACTGGACAGAAAGTCCAAGCAGGGATGGGAGCAGAGGGCAGAGCAGGGAGGGAGGGCCAATCAATACTAAGCACACCACACGAATCTCTATTGAAAACAGGGAGGAGGGAGGTAAGTGGAGAGGATGAGGGATAGGAGAAAAGGGGGGAGGGAGAGAGGGGGAGAAGGGGAAGGAAAGGACAAAAGTATGAAAGAAAGAAAGCGTTTTGTAAAGCCATCCCTTCAGCCCTCCTGAAGGCTGTGTGACCTGGCAGAAGATGGGCAGGAGCAGCTCTCTCCCTGCTCTGGGTTTTAGCACCAGAAGCAGGCCAGACCATCCCCTGGGGCCTCGGAATCCTCATCCCTACATGAAGGGCCAGACTGCATGGTCTATAGCCCTTTCTCTAGGCGTCAGCTTTTACACATTACTGCCACCACACACACACCACCACACTCACACTTTCACATCAGCAGCAGGTGATGGGAAGCTCTCTCTCCTTTCTTACAGTTGGAGTCTACTATGGCAGTATTTGCTGACTGATGTTGTCCTGGTCCCAGAAGTCTGCCACAATGCTGTGCAAAGGAGACATCTACTTCCACAGTTTCATTGCTACCAAGGGAAAGCCCATAACAAACTAGATAAACAGAGGCTCTGGGGCCCGGGTACCCCTGCCTTGAGGTGGAAGAGACCCCCTTTTGTGAATGGATAACTTACATCAGAAGCATTATTTACTTGAATATATCCTAAAAGATACTTATCAAGTAAGAGTTATTGACCAACAATCTTTGCCTATCAGTGAAGTCTAACATACATTCTCTAAGAGGCAAACAAATAGGTGGACCATATAAGCCTCCAGAACCCGCACTACTCTCCCAGCTGAAGCTGATCCCCTGCACACCGAGCCAGCGCCTACCTTAAGGAGCAGCTTCTCATGCTGTGCATTGCCAGAATCATAGGGTTTTTTCCTCACATTTTCTACATCCTGGTAGAGCTGCTTATAGCCAGTTATCTGCAGTAAGCATGTCCTCATGCAGATTTGAAAACTGAAAGGAGAAATTATTAGTTTAAATCAGACCTCTTATCACAATAAAGCAAGGAAGGTCTGTGGTTCACATATCCATTTAGAGCGGTTCTCTGACTTTCAATTTAACACAAGATGTACCAAAGGCCACACAGAGCATCCATCACACAGGACTGTGGGAAAACAGGGCTTTGAACGCATGCAACGCGTGACTGACTCCAGTGCTCATTCACACATTTTCTCTGAGCAGTCCACACATCTCCTAATCTTTACTGCCACAGCAACAAGAGTATTTGAAATGGATACAAACAACCCACAACAAGTTATCTGTTTCTCCAAATACAGGCTTACTTTCCCTGGACCAACATGCTTTCTACAGTAACTCTACTCTATAATGGCACACTAAGCTTTAATTCCCAAGAGAGAGCACTTCAAGTTCCAGTCCATCAACATCTAGAAGATCTAGCCTCATCCTGTCTGAAATAACCCTCAGACCAAACTATAAGGCACTGACTCCCTGCGGGGTTTGTGGCTTTGATGCCTCTTACCCCAGGGGTTCATTTCCTAACCACTGTCACATCCCCAAAGCTACCTTCACCTCCCTCACATGTGTATCTACTGATGTCACTTACTACTACAGCACAGAAGACATCTAGTCCTTTGATATGCTGCTGCCCTTTGGTGTGCCCACCACTATCTGGCTGGCCCCTTGGTGACTCTTGGAGAACAAGACTATACTGCCCCCAGGAGGCCACAGTGCAGCCTGTTGACGAAGGACAGAGGGCAGCGTGAGGACTCAGAACAAGTGGCGCACACTGGGGGCTTGAAGAGGACACAGAAACCAAACTCTGAAGGGCAGGAAGGACAGTGGCCAAAGCCATTTAACCTCGAGAGAGTAACAGCACGGGTCTGAGTGGGAGGACTTGGCTCAGTCCTCCTGTGCGGTTGTAGCCCACACAGTACCCAGCACACTGGACCTCAGTGCAGTGACCAGCACACCTCAGTGCATCGACCAGCACACTGGACCTCAGTGCAGTGACCAGCACACCTCAGTGCAGCGACCAGCAGACTGGACCTCTGTGCTCATGGGGTGAGAATGAAAAGCTACATCACCCACAAGCCTTCCCCATCACAGTCCATCTGAGCAGGGCTCTGCATGGCAGGCTACAGAGCACAACTCAGTCACAGAGGGAGCACGCACCTGGTATCTTTCTCGGGGCAGATGTTCTTTTCCTTCATTATGTCTGCTACACATCTGTCCAGTTCACTCTCAGCAACTCGTGTTGCATTCTGGAGGACCTAGTTATGGAGAAACAGCTGAATGAGAGACTTCCCCATGAACTGACACTGAAGTCTGTTTTGATACATAATCAACTTTACAAAAAGAAACCAACCACATTTCCTTCAGATCTCCCGAGAGCTGGAATCATGTATATCTTTGTGGTTTTCTAAAAGCCTCCTACCCACACTCAGAAAAGCAACCCTAATTAAACTCAGTGGGTGAAAAAGAAAGAAAGAAGTCATGGAAGTGGGAGGGGCTGCTGAGGAAGACCCACACACACATACGTACAGGAGGTAGAGAGGAGCGCGGGAAGAATATGGTCACGAAACACTGCACATGTTTATGAAATTGTCAAAAAGGATGTTAGCATTTTAAAAAGGAGCAGCAGCAGGCTCTAAGAGCTGACTTCCTGTCCCCATCCTGCCCTCCCTTCCTGCATCCAGTTCTCTAGGGCCCCTCACTGGCAGCTTCTCTTCCCACAGAGAACTGTGTCAACACCTTGAAAAGGTGATCATTCTGTGCGGCCTGCTTCTGGTCTTCTGATAACTTCCTCGATTTGTCCAGCTCTCTTAAAAGACCATTTGAGCCCCTCCCTCCATTTCTGCATAAGTCTCCAGATGAGCGTGTTGGTGGTTCCAGAACATACTCAGTGAGATTCAGATTAAAACTTCACAGACTCATAGGTCAATCTGGAATTAACATTTTAGTAATAATGAGTCTTTTCATTGATGAATACCAGGCTTCATTTCATTTATTTTTTTCTCAACAATCTCTCCACAAGTTTTAGGGCTGAAGACCAAGGGTTTCACTAAAACCCCCAGGGGGTTCTGCACTTCTGGCTGCTGTGGTAGGTGGCACTGCTCTTTCATGGTCCAAAAGTTCGTTGCTACCACGGATGGCAGTGAGCTACCATCAAAGGACCCTTTCACAGGGGTCGTATATCAGATATTCTGCATATCAGATATTACATTACGATTCATACCAGTAGCAAAATTACAGTTATGAAGTAGCAATGAAAATAACTGTATGGTTGGGGTCACCACAACGTGAGGATCTGTATTACAGGGTGGCAGCATCAGGAAGGTGGGACTCACTGCTCTAAGCCATGTTTATACCTTCCTTCTCTGCATCACTCTTTACTCCTACTGAGAATTGCTTCTTTATCAGTTACTGAAAACCCTGGGAGAAGGCGGAAATGTGGTCATCAAATCCTTGCTGAGACTCACCCATATCTTATCTCCTCTCCTACTTCTATCTAGTTGAATTAGAACAGACATAAAATCTCACTATTAGTGTCTGGACCACAAGACGCTGCTGCAGCTGATCCTCAGAGATCCTCAGTCTCTGCCGCAGCACGGGTCCTGAGTTCAGATTCTGTACCTTCTCCACTAGCACTAGCAAAGGGAGCAAACAGCACACGTCCATGTGGAGAAAGCAGAGCCTGCACTTCCAAACCACTCATCTTCGTTCTGTTTACCTCAGAGAGTGTTACACACTAGGAGCTGGTGCAGGCTCGGGGGGTACAGACGTAAACGACAAACACTATGCTTCATTTTTTCTCTTTGGGGCAGGAGAAAATGGAGAACTAAAAAAGTAAAACGCTGCACAAGGCAGGCAAAAGGACAGGGAGGCTGAGGGCTACAATTCCAAGCAGAGAGTGGTCGGCGTGCTCAGGAGGTCCGAACTGAACGAAACTGGAGACGACGCAACTTAAGCTTTGGATGGGAGAACCCACACTCTGGCCCTCATGGCAGAGGCCCAGTGGCAGGTGGTGCTTTGGTTTGGAGCAGCAGGGCACAGACAGGGCAGCGGCAGGTGTCAAACATGAGAGGGACACACTCCTCAGAGCTGGGCAAATGCTGGGGCCAACAGGATGGTATGAGGAACTGTCACACTTTTACAATGTGCTTTCCAGCCCCAAGAAAGCACCTGCCAGAGGGCGACTCATTCTCAAATACTCCCAGACTTACGGCACAAGGAAACACCACTTGCTCCCCATCCATTGGTCCATGTAGAGTACACGGCTTCTTACAGAAAGAATGGGAGCAGTCAGGACACAGGGCTGTCCCTCCAAGTAGGGCTCTGGCCTGCAGGACAGTGTCACCAAGGAACCAATACATCAGAAAGAGAATCAGGATTTCTGGAGTGGGGCCCAGTGCCTACATTCCAACAAGCTTCCAGAGGGTTGGGGCTGCTGAGTTTGAACCTGTTGCAACAGTTCTGAAATATGGTGTGTCCAAGTAGGTCTGCTACAATGCACCAGGCTGCTGTGGGGATCTGCCTGCTACCTTTCAACGGCAAGAACTCCGTGTCTGTGTCCGTGTGCATGCATGCGTGCGTGCGAATTAAACAAGAGCTAGAGCAGAAACACTCAAACTTTCAGATGTCACATTCTCATGGAAAAAACAAATCACTTTAGGATTGTGAACAAAAGACAACTCTATACTCCTCCCAGTGTTCATCTACGTGGATAAGAATTGTTTGTTCTCATACACTTAACTCATAAATGAGATTGTACCTAAACGAGCAAGCCCCACTTCAGCAGTAACTCTCCAGAAAGAAGCGCATCGGCTTGCAGAATCCAACACCCTTCTGTTTCCAGCAGCAACTCTTACCAACACTCGAAGACAGAGTCATGTGCATGTGTTTATTATGATTCACAGTTTACATTACGACCAAGTGCAAGCATATATATGGATATCTAAAACACAGATATACACATAGCTAACTGAACTAAAAATGCCATAAAATGATATTTCATCTTATTGTGAACAGTCATTTCTAGGTATTTTCTATCCTTCTGTCACTGTTTAACACTGGCCATCATCTCTTAACACGGTTTCAAACAACGGTCTCCATGGCCTGAGAGTGTCTCTCTGCCACACCAGTAATTCTTAGACAGAAAACACTGTGACCTAATGTTAACTCTAGCTGGATAGTTCTTGGTTTTCCAACTAACGCAGCATCAAAAGCTGTGACTAACGCATGGCAGACTGGCATGTTGGTCCTGACTTTCCATCAACCGCAAGTCAGGTATACAACCACTTGCCTGCCTTAGTGTTCGGGGGTGCAGAAGGCATGTGAGGAGTCTTCGCTGTGCAATTGGCCACTCATCTACACCCGTGGATGCAAACAGAGATGGCACAGTCTGTGGGCCTCTAGGGAGTTACTAGGAGACCATTCCCTCTTGCCCACTGAGTCCCACACCTGGAGCCTACAGTAAGACAAGTGGGACAGACGTGAGAAGGAGACACCCACCTGATGGAGGGCCTTTGCAGAGGACCCACATGCGCATGAGCACACAGCAACACGGCTTTCCCCCCTGCAGCCTTGTGTTCGTTTCTTACATAGCAAAAGCAACAGCCACATGGCGTGAGCCGGGACTCACTTTAGATCAAAAGGTAAACACGCAAGGTCTTCTCCACCCAAAACTGCTGTGCTCTTCTCTCACACAACCTACCCTGAGGACACAGTCATGGGGAGGGCTTTCTCTAAGATACTGGTCTACCAAAAGCTACAAACTGCTACTGCAAAATAAACAGGAAAGTCTCAGAAAAGGACACGGAGTTGAAATACTCTTCTGTTATCAAAACACAGATTTCGAAAACTTAATTACTACTTCTAAAATGAGAAAATTTAACTCACAGTTTCTCATAGCAAAACAGTAAATATAATCCTAAAATCAAAGTGTTCTTTTTAAAGAAAAAATATGCTTTGGTTAAGTTTTCTATAATTAGCATTTTAATGTGCCCTTACCTTACTCTTGGAATATGTCAAGGAATTTTCTGAAATTTAAAAAAAAAAAAGTTACCACTTGAATGTATTTTCTGAATTAGGCCAAAATCAAATAGTAAAAATATAACAGCAATGATAAGTCACTCTCACAGTTTAAAATACAATTTCTACAGGAGCAACCATCTCAAAGTCTTACAGGAGAGAGAAGGTGGAATGACCCCCCAAACACAGCACCCAGATGGTGTCAATCAGTTTCCCCAAATGTTCTGTTTCTATGCAGACCGCCAGAGTGAGGGTGTCCGCCAACGGCTCAGATCTCAGACATTTGTCTGGAGACTGTGCTCTCCACTACCTCCCTCCAGCGTCTGAGGACTATGCTCTCCACTACCTTCCTCCAGCATCTGGAGACTGTGCTCTCCACTACCTTCCTCCAGCGTCTGAGGACTGTGCTCTCCACTACCTTCTCTCCAGCATCTGGAGACTGTGCTCTCCACTACCTTCCTCCAGCATCTGGAGACTGTGCTCTCCACTACCTTCCTCCAGCATCTGGAGACTGTGCTCTCCACTACCTTCTCTCCAGCATCTGGAGACTGTGCTCTCCACTACCTTCCTCCAGCATCTGGAGACTATGCTCTCCACTACCTTCTCTCCAGCGTCTGGAGACTGTGCTCTCCACTACCTTCCTCCAGCATCTGGAGACTGTGCTCTCCACTACCTTCTCTCCAGCGTCTGGAGACTGTGCTCTCCACTACCTTCCTCCAGCGTCTGAGGACTATGCTCTCCACTACCCTCCTCCAGCATCTGGAGACTGTGCTCTCCACTACCTTCTTCCAGCATCTGGAGACTGCTCTCCACTACCTTTCTCCAGCATCTGGAGACTGTGCTCTCCACTACCTTCTCTCCAGCGTCTGGAGACTGTGCTCTCCACTACCTTCTCTCCAGCGTCTGGAGACTGTGCTCGCCACTACCTTCTCTCCAGCATCAGCCCGAGTGAGTGGCCAGCCACTGAACAGCACGGGAACAAAGGAGCAGAACCTAGACTGTCTGGCCAAAGAGCAAACAGGCTCCGCATCCCTGGCTTTTGTTCCAAGAATGTCAAGAACATTTGTGTTTGTCTGTTTAAAAAAAAAAAAGTTCTGGTACACTGAGAATGCTCTCCTTTTGATAATCTTAAGAAAAATGTTTTTTGCCTCAAAGTAAAGCCTTGAAAATGCTCTTCCACATACTATAAAGTGCCAACCAGCGCAGCCCTCAGAGACCTGTATCAAGAGGCACTTGGATCTTCTCAACAGGCAAGAGGGGAAATCAGGGAGTGTGCACTAGCTTCAACCAGCCAGTGGCCACGAAACACCTTCTGCCATTCTTCCAATGCCACCCTGGGCACAGGGCCCACTGCCTGGGCCTCACTCCCTTGGCCCCAAGGATATTGATTCCTCATTTGAAGCATTCTTGACCAACACAAAATAGGAACTGGTTAATTCTCAATTTTCCACTTAGCACAACATCATGAGCTGTGGCTCTGCCCAGGTCTTTCTTGCTAGGCCTAAAGTGACTTCAGACCACATTTCTCAACCATCTGAGTTTGAAGTCAGAGTAATATTTTTAATTAAACATTGAAAAACTGTCATTTGGCAGAAATATAACTCAAGCCAAACTGAGCCCATATACCATAAAAATTTCCACAGCTACGTTAAATCAAAAAGAAATACATGCAATCTGTATGACTTAATAAATCCAAAATATCATCACTTCAACATATTACAAATACAACTGTGACATCTTTACACTTCTGTTCATACGAAGACTTTGAGATGCAGTGTGTACCTTATGGGTACAGCTCAACTCAGTCGACACCATGAATACTTCAAGTGCTCACTCACCATGCGGCTATAACTGAGAGCCTGGCCCAGGTAGGTTCTAATAATCTTTCGTAGGATCAATGAGCAGTCTGCCCATTCAGTATAATCTGAAGAATAATCGATACTTCTTTGTTTGTTTGTTGTTGTTTTTCCGAGACGGGGTTTCTCTGTGTAGCTCCAGAGCCCGTCCTGGAACTAGTTCTGTAGCCCAGGCTGGCCTCAAACTCAGAGATCCATCTGTCTCTGCCTCCCGAGTGCTGGGATTAAAGGCGTGCGCCACCACCGCCCGGCCTGATACATTTTTTTTTTTTTTTGAGACAGGGTTTCTCTGTGTAGCTTTGTACCTTTCCTGGATCTCACTCTGTAGACCAGGCTGGCCTCGAACTCATAAAGATCCACCTGGCTCTGCCTCCCAAGTGCGGGGAATTAAAGGCGTGCGCCACCACCGCCCGGCCTAACTGATACATTTTTAAGAAACTCCAAAGATTCATTCTTTGGGTAGATATGGGTAGATATAAGAAGTTTCTTTTTATATACAACTTTTCAATGTTCAGTAGTCAGTAGTACAGTGAGAAGGATTCAAAGACCACAAAGCTTACGAAACTCAGGTGCAATAACACAAGTACATTACCACTGGATAGACAGAAAGAATTCAATAACGTTTTTATTAATCTTCAATTTTTCGATTTCGAATGGCATTACCTATCCTGTATGTCCTCTGTGCGCCTCCATAGGTGTCGAAAATTCGCTGCAATTCACATTTTCCAGTCATCTGTCGTAAGACCCATTTCATCCAAAATCGGAAAAAGTGCCCATAGAAGAACTCCCACAAAGAAATAAACATTTTTTCTGGAAAAGGATATAAGAACACAAGCTTAAAAACCTTAAACTGGAATTTTAGAGCTGAAAAGCAAATTAAGTTCATCCAACTCCCCAGATCCCAAATTATAATAAAATCTATTACTCTATTGTGTCTATTTTGTGACAGTGTTTAATCAGTCAGGCAAGGAAACAATATATAGCATAGATTAAATACTGATTAACAAAATGGTCAATTTATCTCTAAGCCAAATGGTCACTTTTTTAAAAAGTTGTAAAAAAGTAGGAAAAATTGGCCAACATATTTAATGGCTTAAAAGAACAATAACCACCTTACATGTTTACCAAATAATAATATTTCATATTTTGGATTCCTACTTCTGTTTTTCATCCCTTAAAACTTGGAACTAAACACTTCGAGAATAGAAGGACCAACCGAGCAACAATTTCAAATCAACCACACATCAGATGTGGATCCCCAAGAATGAGCTCGTCTTAGCCTTGGTGCAGAGCGTGTCCCAGCTGTCTCAGTCAGCTGACGCCAACAAATGAGAACACCACAAGCGGCTTACAAACTGCAGCATACAGGTTGAAAACCGAGCAGATGGCATCCTGACGAATTCATTTTTCCAGTCAATAGGTGAAAGGCAGAAATACCAAAAAGTTAAAAAAAAAAAAAATCCCGCAAAACCTACACACTTGATACAACTGGATCTTAGACGAAAACTCTTCGGGTGCTAAACGAAGGGGAGGAGGCATGCCGGGGACCGAGAGGAAAACGCTCCTCGCCTGCCTTCCAGCCCTGGGATTTGCAGACACACCCTCTCTGCGCCGGGGCCCGAGGAGCTGTCAAACTCGAAATCCCCGCCGGGCAGGGCACGCGGTGCCGGTGCCAGACGCGCGGATCTGGATCTTTAAAATGAGTCATCCCGTCCGCGCCTGTCGGGAAGAAGGCGGCAGAAGTGCCAGGCACCGGCAGGCCGTCCCGGCGGGCGGCCGCGGGCCCCGGGGCCTCGGGAGGTCGTGCGCGAGCCCCTTGGGCACCGCGCCGTCCTGCCCCTCTCGCGCGCGGGAATGCTGCACAAAGCCCCGACGGCCCCTGCACCCTGCGGATTATCCGCAGGACCCCGGCGAGGCTTGCACACCAGCAACGCAGGGTGAGAGAAAATTAAAACAGCAGCCACCTCACAGGAGCGGAAGAACTAGGGGAAGCTGGCGCTGCCTCGGTTTCCCCCAGCTGCAAACACCGGCAACGGAAAGACGCTCTACGCGGAGCACTCCCTGCAAACACCGCGACCCGGAAGTCGGGACAGGAGGCCGGGGCGGGGGGAGGGGGGAGGTGTCGCCAGACGCCGAGCCCCGCCTCTCCGTCTTTCGATTGGTCTGCGCTCCCGTCTATCACCGGTGCGGAAGGAGGGCCTGCGGGCTGGAGCGCCAGACGCCGGACGGTTCCCCTGGCAACGGGGGCCGGCTGCCACGCCCAGCGCCAACGTGGCCCCGGAGGACGCCGCCTGGAAACTGCTCAGGGCATTCAGTGGCTCTTCCACCGCCGGTGTGACAACAGCACTTTCACCTACATTTCCTAATCTGTGAAGTGATTGTTTCCCCTCTTTATGAGGCACAAAGGAAACTTGGCTCGAAGGGACTTTATGGATGACGTAAAGGCATTTGCGTGGCCCGTGTGCAATGAGAAGTTGCGAAGTTTGGACTTTTTCCTCTGAAAATGAACATTGAACAATCAACTCATCAGACGTTCATTTCTTAATTATTAATTATTGTTTCTACTAGAAGAATAATTTGTGCATTTTTTGTTTTGTTTTGTTTTTTGCTTTTATTTGCTGTTTTTTTTTTCTTCTCTTTGTTATTTTTTCTTGTTTTTCTTCTTTGTGCACATTTTTCAAAGCCCCCAAAGGTACGGTTGATTAGCTAGTATACTGTGCCAGGCTGTCTTTACAAGGGACTGCACACTACACCAACTGGCAAAAACATAGATAGTACCAGGTGAAGCTGCCTAACAAAGCTGTTGGGAGATTAGTTAGGGGGATTAGGGAGCAGGGGAAGAGTTACATACAGCGGAGTCAGCAAAGTAAGAATAAGCTTTGCTGGATGAAGTGAAGGAGTATGCCGTGACAGCGGCCATGTGGACAGTAAGTATAGAGGTCTTGAATGAGGAGCGTGTTGAAAATGCTGATGGAACAGTCAGGGGTCGGAGGGTTGGATAAGAAAGAGCAAAGTGGAAAAAAGGCTAAGTACAAAAGACATCATACAATAAAAATAAATTGAAACGGAAGAAATCCCTGAACTGGGCATGGTAATGCATGCCTGTAAACCCAGCCAGAGGGCAATGTAGGCAGGAAGATTGGGAGACCAAGGCCAGCCTGGCAACATAAGGTCTTGTCTCAAAAAGTAAATAAAGTATCCTCCCACCTAACCAAGATTCCTGGCTCCTTATTCCCCTTGCTCAAAGGCGACCACTGTCGCTTCCGTATACTTCCAGACACATTGAGACCAATGTCTTGTCTGTGCTCCATTCATCTCCTTGTTAACTCGAATTAAGTGAGCAGTACACACTTTCCCACTACTCAACCACCGTTTTAAAGGTGGATTCTACTTGTAGAGCAGAAACCAGTGAAGGACACGGAAGCCACCATCTTTGCCCAATGGAAGTGAAATGTTTGGTGGAGACCATCTCCCTCCTGTCTCCAAGTTTTGTCCAGCCCTCCTCCAAGGATGGAGTGGGCAGGCAGCAAAGAGTACAAACAGGCGGACTTCATTGTCACTCTAGGATTAAAACGCTTAACAAGATAAAAACTAAACACATCGCCATGCAGGATTTTACTACTCAAATGGAGACATTTGAACTCTCAGTTGAGTTGTCAGCTCCTGAAAGCACACAGCCTGGCAGGTCACAAGCCTGGCAGGTCACTGGACCAGCAGTGGCAAAGTCTGGAGGCTTGAAGCTCTAAAGCCTCAAGTCTGGAAGTCTAGAGAAGAGTAGGTCTCAGAAGCAGTGGGTGGAGGAGGCTGGAAGCAGCTGCAGGGGTAATTCCCTTCTGTGGCCAGATCGCACAGTCTTGTAGCCATCAGTCCCTCTGCCTGCAGCTGCTGGTCATATCCTAGAGGTGGCTCAAGTGAGCTCCCTGCCCAGGGCCGAAGAGAAGCCTCAGGAGCCAAGCCTCCAGTAAATCTATCCCAGGTGAGTGTTGAAGGCAGCCTTCCTCCTCTTCTGTAGGCTCCCACAGTAAGTGGTTTTGTTTCTGCAACCTCTGAGCGTCCAAATTTATAGTTTACCAACCAGGACCTGAGTGGCAAATCTTGAAAATGGGTATGCCCGGAGGGTGAAAAATTAGGATCAATTGAGAAAGAGCTGTCAAATGAATGGGGTAGGGGAAGAACCCAGAGCCCACCAAAAGTTCACAGGCAGGTCCACAGCTCTCTGTGTAAAGGTGGGGAGATGTAAAGAAATATCTCTCTGCCCCTGGTTACCCCTGGATCTTTGCAGGCCAGCTGCATCCCTCCCCAGACGCTGGCTGCCAGTTTCCTTCCACCAAGGGATTTTCCCTAGCCAGATTTTTGTTTCTTTTTGCAGCTGTGTCTGGGTTTATGTGTGTGTGTGTGTGTGTGTGTGTGTGTGTGTGTGTGTGTGTGTGTGTGTGTGTTCATATCTATTAAATCCTCACTGTTCCCAGGAGAGGATGCTCACTGCATTTCTATCCTGACTTTATTCTTCTAAGAAGCAGCAAAGTTCTAAGATAGGATTCTGACTCCCAGATGAAAAAAGAACCTTCTTCACCTGCTCTCTAGGTCTCTCCATTAAACTATGTGCCCTTTCAGACCTTAACAGATACCTAAAAGAAAGCCAAAGGCTACATTATGATGAAGTCTGGTTTGTGTGTGTGTGTGTGTGTGTGTGTGTGTGTGTGTGTATTAGGTAGGAACCAGAAGTAGACACCAGGCTCTCTTCCTCCATTGCTTTCCCACCTTAGTTTTGGAGATGGGATCTCTAACCAAACATAGAGCTCACCAGTTTAGACAGCCTGGCTGACCAACCTGCTATAGGGATGTTCACATCTGCACCTCCCACGCTCTGGGACTTAGAGGTGCATGAGGATCCAACAGAATTTTTACATAGTTGCTGGAGTGTAAACTCAGGTAGCCATGCTGCCATGACAAGTACTCACTGACTTATTTTCCCAGCCTTTGGTTATAGTTCTTTGCCACACTGCTGCAGCTACATTTCTAAAGATTAAAAAACCATACAATTGTTGGTTTGAGAGACTGCTGAATGGCAAGAACCGCCTGACACAGCCACTAACCATCTACTTGGTAGAGCTCAAGCATTTGGTCCACAGAGGACCAAATTGAACAGCGCTGTTCCTTTGTGCATGAACTTGGGGTGCAGAAAACTTTATCCCAGGATGAAAATGTCATCCCTCAGTATTTATGAGGGATTTTCCTTAGGACCCATCTGACACCAAAGTCTGTGGTACTGTGATACTCAAGCCTTTGATGTAAAATAAGGTAGTGTGATCTAGACGTCTGCCACCTGCTGACGTAAATACTGTACCACAAGTGACTTTTATATATCTCATTATTCCTAGAATAATGCAAATAGCATGCAAATATTTATAATGTTATTTTAGCAAAAACAATGGGAAAGTCTATATTGCTCAAATATTTTCCCAAAACGTTTTCTATTCACGCTTTCAAAGCTACAGATGCAGAATTCAGAACAGAGAGAGTCTACTCTTTAGCAAAGGTGAGGCTTTTTAAATTTTCTTTAAGATTTGTATTGTATGTGTATTGGTGTTCTGCCTGAATGTCTTTCTTTGCACCACTTGCGTGCCTGGTGTCCCCAGAGGCCAGGAGAGAGTGTCAGATCCCCTGGAATTGGAGTAATAGCTAGTTGTGAGCCGCTGTGTGTGCTGGGACTCAAACCCAGGTCCTCTGCAAAAGCAGCCGGTGTTCTTAACTTCTAAGACATTTCTCCAGCTCTGGTGATTTTAACCCACCTCTTACATAAAGTGCATTCAGAGGAATGTTGTGGTTTGAATGTGAAATGTCCCCCACAGGCTCGTGGATTTGTCTGCTTGGTCTCCAGCGGATGGCGGTCCTTGGGAAGGTTGTGCAGCCTTTGATGGGGGCAGAGCCTGGCTGAAGGAAGTATGTCCCAGGGTGGGCTTTGAGGTTTTTGCTTCCCTGGCCTTGCTTCCTGACTGCCTCATGTTCCTGCCTTCTCCATCGAGATGGCCTACCTCCCCCAGGAACTGCAAGCCAGAACAAGCCTTTGTCCTCTGAGTTTCTCTGGTTAGGTGTTTTGTCTACTGTAAAGTAGCTAAGATGAGAAGAAATTATCATTTGACTTGTGTGGAGAGTCCAGGGGTGTATGGCATAGTCAGTGCTGAGCCGGGAAGGATGGTAGGAAACAGACTGAATGGACCATAATAATGGTGGAAGGTATACTCACATCCCAGCAGGACAGGAAACGGGCAACATTAAGGTATGAAAATGGAAGTTTAGGATATGAAAAGGTACAATGCATAGCGCCTAATCACTATGACAATGCAGAGAAAGAAATAAGATAACTAGCTCTTGATTTTACCGGTCACAAAATCAGAAAGAACATGGTTAAGGTCCTTGTCATTACCATCTTAAATTCAAATGCCTTTATGAGACAGAGAAGGCCCTTCATGTAGTTTCAACAAGACCATCAAAATGAAAGGCCTACGACTTGCCCCAGTGCTCCCTGATAGTGAATGCCAGGCAATACCAAATTCCTGAAGAACACAGGAAATCTCATCTTCCCTTGTGAAAAAATGGAAGCAAAAATCCTAATCTCCTCTTCTATTTTCTGTTGACCTAGATAGCCCAGGAAAGAGAGTGGCTCTTGCAGGTAACTCTTGACTATCGTGACATAACCATGGTTTAAGAAAGTGACTGCTGTGCCAGGCATCCTGTAAGCGGAACAGGAAGTCCAGCAAACTGAACAGGCTTCGTTTGGGTGGTAAATCAGACTGACTCCCTGACCTCACTCAGAGAAAATCTAGCATGGTTGGCTACACAAATGTGTGTTTGTGGCCTTTCCCCAAGGATATCTGGTCTCTTCGATTGCTGTCACAGCTCGTGAGACCAGATCTAAACATGCTAACTATATAAAAATCTAGTGCATTTATTATGTTGATGAAGGCACTGTGGTGATTGGCCCTTCGGAAGGATTTGATAGTTGTAGTGATAAGGCTAGCCAGCTGGATGGGTTATCCAGCTAGGAGTCAGAGCCCATTCCTGTGAATTTAACTTTGGCTACCTACTATGGACCTAAAAATAACTTTGGACTCCAGAGATATTCTATGAACAATAACAAATCGCTCTCCCTACAGGGCCCTGCCAGTGAAAAGGAAGAAAACACACAAGAGTCTGTTTGACAAGCTATGAAAATTATATACGAACAGTGATCCAAGTGTAGTATAGGGACCCAAGGATTCCAGCACATTCAAAGGATTTGGGAATTTTCTTTTACCAGGACCCATTCAAATACGGTTTTTTTGTTTTTTTGTTGTTGTTGAAACACAATACTGCCACCTTGTGGCATCCATGGGAATATTTGTGCTTAGAAAGTTCCTGACAGAAAACTGGGTAACCTGCGGTAAACTGGACGCTGGCAGTTTGATATTGTTCTGTGTTATGTTTACAGTAATGCTCGTTTTTTGGTTGGTTACCAGTTGAAGAGCCTGCCTGGGCTTTATCACCCCGGAAGAGAGGAGCTACTCAAGCAGGCATGACGGGCAGAAAAACCATCTGTTAGTGGAAGAAATGCGGACCGCAGAGTGTGGATGCTATCGTGGGACCAGTTTGGATGCCACCGCCACAACGTGGGTGTCAGGGCGGGAACAACAGAAACACGGGTTTAGAAACAAGAAGTTTCTAAGGATTGTAAACATTTTATAAATGATGGGGTGTAAAAACCGTGGAGCCAATTGGTCTTCCGCCATTTCATAAAACTGAGGGGCTCTGTAGATGCAGAGCTTGAGGGAGATGCTTGGACACACTGAGGTGAGACGTCTGAGCAGAAATGCTGCAAAAGCAAGTGAGTCGGTGCTCCAGTGAGCACAAGAAGCTGTCGCAAAGCCCTTCTGCAGAAGCCTTCCTTCCCTCAGCTCTCTGTACGGCGATAGCCTGGCAACTGTGTGTCTGACCTAGCAGGGTCGGCTTGCCTTGTAGCTGCCATGTGCACTTAGCAAACGCCTGGGAAATAGAGGGGCCGGAGGAGCAGAAAGGTCAAGTGTTCATCTTCGTCTCAGGATCTCACTGCTCTCAACTCGGCCATTAGCACTCAGTATGGCATTCTCAAGCAGGTGGATATCCACATCTTTTTTAGCTCTCAAAGGGGCCAGAACCTGGGATGCGCTTGCAGAAAAGAGATTGCTTATCACCCCGACACTGCCCGCGAGTCCCAACAGAGTTCAGAGTGGAAAGGCCAAATCGGAAACACGGATGAAGGGGCTCCGCAGGTGTGCCGTGTGTTTCTCACCTGTGAATCGAAATCTGGTGAATTCTCTCAGGAAAATACGCCAAGTCGGTGGTGTCCACAGTTTCTCACGTTTAACCACCCCGCAGCCTTAGCCAGAGGGTTATAAAGTGATCTCAAGAAGGGACCGCGATCTGACCGGGCGAAGGCGCTGGGGACCCTGCGACGGCCGGCCCGTGTGGAAGGGGGCGCAAGCGCGTGGGGACACAGGCGCGGTGCTCTCCCGGGAGGTGCCGTGCTCGTCCGGCCTCGGGGTGCAGCCCCCAGCCTGCCGCGACTCCAGCGCGATGAAGGCCAAGAACATCAACTTACTGTTCGCCTTCGTTGCGGTCCTGCTCTTTTGCTTTTCCTGCTTCTGCATCTCCAAGATGAACCAAACCAGTAAGTCCGGGGTAGGGGGATGGGGAGTAGTGGGGGACAGGAACGGGGACAGGGACAGGGACGGGGACGGAGATGGTCGGTCCCCCATCTGCCTCCCTCGGGAGCCACACCGCCTATGTCACAAAGGAAGGGAGAGAAGGGACACCCTGGCGGTCCCCTGCCCCACCCCGGCTGTGCGAATGGAGCTCACAGACCCACATCCTGTGGCCGTTGGCCTGTAACCGGCCCTGGGAGGCACCTTGGGACGCACACTGATGGATCCGGTCCTCTGACCTCCCTGGCGCTGGCCAGTCGGTCCCTCCAAAGCGTCCCTCTCCTCTCCTGCTCTTCTTTCTTCCAGATCTCCTCTTCCAGACACCAACATCTTTCCTCTTTTCTCAATAGCTTTAAAAGTTATTAGTGAGAATTTGGAAACACTTACAGGAAGACTACCGGATCTTGTACCTAATCTTTCCTGCCTTTAAAAACTAGCTGACGCTTGATTTCAGCACTCAGGAGGCAGAAGCAGGCAGAGCTCTATGAGTTCGAGGCCAGCCAGAGTTACATAGGCTCGATAACTAAGTAAATAACTAAATAAATAAATAACAACTAATTTTATGGGCAGATAGCCTTTTTGTTTTTCCTGTAGATTCATGGTATTAATAATTGATTTGTTTGAAAATATTTAAACTCAGGAAAGATGAAGATATTTTTGTCTGTTTTGTCCCCGATGTGAACCTAGTGTCCAGGAAAAAAACAGTGTATGGCACAGAGCAAGCATGCAAAATATTTTTTGAAAAAAAAAAAAAAGATTGAGTAAAGGAATGAACGAGTCGGGAGCTGTTCTGTTGTAAGCAATAGATCAACGGATGAGTCGGGAGCTGTTCTGTTGTAAGCAATAGATCAATGGCTGTGGCGACAGAAATCCCCCCTTTCCGTAGCGTTTCCACAGTGCTAGTGGGAAAAACAGCAACAAATATAGCTAAAGCGTGGGACTGCGGTGTGATCTCAGATGTTGGCAGGGACATGAAAGGACAGTACTGGGCTCCAGCCATGTTGTCCTTGTGGAGACGCCACAGGGTAAATACATAGACTGGTCCCCAGTCACTTGGTGCACAGAGGATGAAGTCACATAACAGAAGACCTCTGATGGGGAGGCACCACTATGCCACCTTTGGCAAATGTCATCTGTACCTTTCTGGTGCTTCTCTGCCACAGGAGTGTCCAGAGGGCTTGGAGGGGGGTGGTTTTGGTTTCTCCGGATGATGTTTCTGCAGCCAACATCCAATGTTGGCTCTTTGATGGGGTTACTTGTGGCTGCTTTAGGGTCTTGGTAGGGGTGTCCTAGCTGGCCACTCATTCCTTGATGTGGCCTATCGGTCTCAATGAGTTGATCCTCTGCCATAGCCCCTTGCAGCTAGGAATCTTTATCAAGCAGATGCATGCTTGTGGTGACCCTGCAATATTGTCTCAGGACCATAGCTAACTAGAGATCTATGCCACTTCAACCTGCCTGCCTGACAAGCTGCTTCGCAGATGTTCCATCGTGGTTTAACTGATTCTCCCCATCCCTGTTCCTTTTCATCTGGCCCAATGGTTTGCAATTTTCAGAGAAACACGCCTGAGCCTGAATTGGAGGAGAAAAGGCTGACCCTGGAGCACCATATTTTATCTCTCCCAGGCTCTCTTTGGAGGGGGGGGGATCCCCTACATACCTATACAAACAGGAGAGTACATTAAATCCCAGCAAGGTCTGGACTCTCAGAAATACAGCAGACATACACATCGTTGTTGCCATCCATGGAGCCCATCTGGGGAGAAGAACTCCCATGTCCAAGTGGGGGAGGGAAGTACTCAGGACCGTCATGGGAATGCCTGTCAGGATTTAAAATATATAATATTTGCAGGGCTACAGTGTGGGATGACCATTGCATGGGAGGGGAAGAGGGGAATGGAGATAAGCTGTACTCAGCTTTAGCTGATAGTGAAAATATAAGAATTCATACTAGACTACTATAAGTCAAGGATTCATGTTGAAGTCTGTTTAACCATAAATCATAGTAAAATAGCATGAAACTGGATCAGCAATTATAGTGAACACTCCAAATTGAAGTTGAAATACTTTCTGAGTGGGTGTAAAACAACTTTATGATGTTCACAAGAAGCACCTTTAAAAGACAGAAAGAATACACCCCCAAAAGCCTGAGACAAGGGAAAGCTGATATAGCTGTGTTAATATTAGCAAAGAAAATGGAACAGAAACGGGAAACTCCACGAAACTGCTTCCATTGCGCAGCATTTTGATTTCTTAAGGATTGATTATTAATGTGTCTCAGTATATGTGTGCTGTGTGTGAGTTCCTGAGAAGGCCAGAAAAGGGTGTCAGATGCTCTGGAGCTGGAGTTACATGTGACTGTATCCATCTGATGTAGGCACTGAGAATCAAACTCCAGTCTCTGGAAGAACAGCAGAGACTCTTAAACCCTGGTCTACCTCTCCATTCCTGCCACTTTGATTTTCACTTAGGAAATTGGACATTTGGCAAGAACTTGGAATTTTTGGATTTATACAAACTTCCCTTGGGGAACTCTCCGTTCAGGCATTTCAGTGAAGCACGGGCGCCTTACTCATCTTAGCAGCTCCACTCTGGTCCCACCAGGGCCAGCTGGCACACATCAGGACCAATGGTGGATGGTAACTTATGTTCTCATGGACCAATCTCTCTCTGTCTCTCCCTCCCTGTCCGTGTGTGTGTGTGTGTGTGTGTGTGTGTGTGTGTGTGTGTGTGTGTGTGTGTGAGAGAGAGAGAGAGAGAGAGAGAGAGAGAGAGAGAGAGAGAGAGAGAGGGAAAGATCCATATGTATGTCACACATACATTTTTTGGTAGCTTAAATAAAATGCTAGCATCCAATACATTCCAGAGGAGTACCTGAATACATTTGTTAGAAGACAGAATGAAATGTTCTTGAAACATGATGTCCGTATAAGCATCCTTCACAATGTGAAAGTGTGTCATGATGCACTCTGAGTGAAATATTTTACAGCAGTGCACACACATGGACTACAGCTTGACCCATTTGCAGGGGTGAATCTCAAGAGCATAAATTGGGGCTGGCTCAGCAGGTAAATGGGCTTTGCTGACCTGATTTCAATAACCAGAAACCATATAGTAGAAGGACAGAACCTACTCCCACTAGTCCTTTACCTGCAAACAAGCTGTGCTGTGCTCATATCTGCACATGTGTGACTATGGGCAACACACACACACACACACACACACACACACACACACACACACACACACAATGTTTGAGAAGTATAACAGGCAAAAGAAGCAAGCGTAGAAGAATACACATCTTTTTAGTTAGTAATACCTAAAGCTTAAAGTCAGTCAGCTTCCAAAGGTGTTGGGAAAGGAACAGGTGGTCTGGGAACACTTGCATCATACCCAAGGCTTAGGTAGTGGGTGTTCACTCTTACTATCCACCCAGCTGTCCTGTGTGCTCTTTGTCATGTCTGGATGAAGGGTCGCTCCTGGGGAATTTAGGAGATCTGACTAGTGTAATTGACCATTGCCAGCAGAGCGGAGGGAGCAGTCTGAAATGTATTTTCCTTCTCAGCTTCACCCCTTAACACCTCAGCTATTCTATGTTCAGAACAGCATCTGGCTACAAGTGAGTCAATGAACTGAAAACATGCTGTCAGTTCTTCAACAATGAGTCCTTTGATCCCTTAATCCCCTCACTAAGTTACTTCCCTCTAAGAGCATCAGGCTGTTTCACCCCATCCATTGATAGTAGTGTTTTCTTAGTCTAAATGCCCACTTTTGCCAGTTGCCATATGAGAAAATTTTACATGTTCTTCAAGTTTTTGAATACCCCTTTAGCCCTAAAATCCTTCCTACCTGGATTCCCAGGCCCCTTCCCAGAATTTATCATTTCTCCTCCATGGTGCTCAGGTGCTTTGGAGATGACTCAACTTTAACAATTATAATCAGTTGATTAAGATTGCCAGTTTAGGCATAACTGGATGTCAGTGTATAGGAGAATGCAAATGGATCCATATCTATTACCGTGTAAAAAACTCAAGTCCAAGTGGATCAAAGACCTCAACATAAATCCAGTTACACTGAACCTGATAGAAGAGAAAGTGAGGAGTAGCCTTGAATGCATTGGCACAGGAGACAACTTCCTGAATAGAACACCAGTAGTACAGACACTAAGATCAACAATTAATAAATGGGACTTCATGAAACTGAAAAGCTTCTGGAAGGCAAAGGACACTGTCAACAGGACAAAATGGCAGCCTACAGAATGGGAAAAGATCTTCACCAACCGCACATCCAACAGAGGGCTGATCTCCAAAATATATAAAGAACTCAAGAAACTAGACATCAAAAAACCAAATAATCTAAAAGTGGGATACAGACCTAAACAGAATTCTCAACAGAAGAATCTCAAATGGCAGAGAAACACTTAAAGAAATATTCATCATCCTTAGCCATCAGGAAAATGCAAATCAAGATGACTTTGAGATTCCATCTTACATCTGTCAGAATGGCTAAGATCAAAATCACAAATGACAGCTTATGCTGGAGAGGATGTGGAGAAAGAGGAACCATCTTCCATTGCTGATGAGAGTGCAAACTTGTACAACCACTTTGGAAATCAATATGGCAGTTGGGATGGCTATTCTTGGTTGTCAACTTGCCTATATCTGTAATGAACTATAATCCAGAAATAGAGAGCATACTTGTGATCTGGATCTTGAGACAAGAAGACAACATGCCTTTAATCCAGACCTTGAGGCTGGAAGGCACACCTTTAATCTGGGCCACCCCTTCTGCTAGCAGTCTGTGTAAGGACAATGGAAGAAGGAAGGGTTGGTTCTTTTGACCTGCTTGTCCTCATCTTGCCAGCACATCCATTTCTTCAGTGGCATTGGAGCCTTCTTCCGGACTCTGGCATATACAAAAGATCAGCTGAGACACCCAGCCTCATGGGCCTGACCAACTACTAGAT